AATTAATTAGACGGAGCGGACAAATAATTATTCCGAGGATTAGAAAACATTTTGCAATAAGTAATGAGAACCCGAAAGATGTAAATGGTTGCTGGCAAATGAAAGAAAAGTATCGCACTGTGATTTTATTTTACGAAAATATTTTGAAAGTTGAATGGCTTCTATATTAATTTACAGCAATTCCGGTGATAATGGAACGGGGAGTGAAGATTGCAGTGACAACGAAGACGGTATTGAGTCAGCCAGTCGAAGTGTACCAGGCTGGTGATTTTATTGATATGATAAGATTTATGTTATTGTGATTCATTTCATATTTATTTTTTATTCTCATTCAGCAGCAAGTTCTAGAGTGCAAAGTTTGGCGAAATCCAACTGCCTTATTTCGTGGCGCAGAATATCAAAGGTTTACAAAAATGACAGGAAAAGAACCACTTACATATTATGATATGAATTTGTCAGCTCAGGACCATCAAAATTTTTTCACATGTGAGGGAGATACGGGAAGACAAGACTATGAAAGTGAGTTTCTGCCAGAAATTATTACACCAATTAGAAAATTATACTTTTTTTGAGTGATATAAACATGTAGCTCAGGATGAAATTAATGTTTTGTGCAGTTTTTCCATGTTTGCTGAACTTCTATATTCGACATTGTATATTTCTGGTCCTAGATACTCGGAATACGTGGTTTTTTAAGAAAAATAGATGGGAATTTTAGTAATGCAAGTGGCATGGCGAGAGCGTGATAGTTATTCGCGGATTAATGCAGCATACAAGGCATTGGAAATCAACCCTGAATGTGCTCCAGCGTTAATATTACTGGCAGAGGAGCAATGCCAAACGATTGCCGATGTAGAACAAACGCTGAAGTAAGGAAGGAAGATGCTTTGAAACTTTAGATCTCAGTTCTTTTTTTGAAAGAATTAAGTGCAGTTTATATTCTTCTTCACGGTATTTGATCTGCTTATAGTGAAAGTTTTGCCGTCTTTCTTAAATTTTTAAAATGTTGGTCTTATGACTCATTGAAAAATTTGAACGCGACATGTGACTTTTACGACCTTCATAATTGGTAATTGCATGGTTATGCAATTAGGCATTACACTATGTTATGTTGAAGTAATCTCCATAACGCTGCTTCGCACGACAACGACAGAATGTCTGGATCTTGTCCGATATCACGTTTTGATAAGTTATAGTGTTGTCCCAGGCAACTGCTTGCTCAGTAGCATAACGCGATGATTTTGCTTCATTTGTATGCACAGTACTGCTCTTTCCATCGTGTTCCAGGCGAGCGTTGAAAGTAACAGAAGCAAACTATCGGAAATCTCAATCACAAGTCCACTATGATTTAGCTTCGGATCCAGTACATAGTAAGTTCGTTATTAATTTGTTCGTCCTTGTAATACTACCGTTTTTCTTAATATGTGGCATCTGTATATGTTAATGTTAGATGCTATCTTACCAATGTTCGCGAATGTGCAGAGAAAATTAAGCTTTCCGTTCAAGACGAAGAATAATTCTAGGGCGTGATGTCAATTTGCTAGTTTTCGTACGCAGGCGACTAGCTATGTGTGCACGTCGGCAAGGGCGGTTGCGAGAAGCAGTTAAAATGATGCGAGATGTAAGTCATTGCGTACGAGCACACTTGTAGTTGTTTTAGCCACACTTTTCATCCTCACTTCTCTTTAAAAAAAGATTTGTGTGTAGGCTAAAAGTTGGAGTTTAGACTTGTTGTCCACCATATATTCTAGTTTGGGAAGATAAACGATAGGTCAAAATTCGCTTACAAAAAAGATATTTGATGTGGAATGCCATTTTTCTTTGCGTTGTTTGAACGAATTATTATAGTTGATCAAGGAATTTCCGATGCTTAATGTAATGAATATTCATGAAAATCTGATTGAAGTGCTGTTGGAACAACAGGCTTACGCGGATACTCAGGCTGTTCTAGCTCGATATGATGGTAATATTCCGTTTCTTTTTATTATGACTTGATGATGGATTATTAAAGAAGTAATATTTTCACAGAAATTCTTGGCTAATTTATTGTTGTCTATTAGCATTGCTTACTTAGTACTTTTTATTAATAAATTATAGGATGTTTTGGCACCTCTCTCGTTTTTAGATATCAGTTTACCGAAATCTGCTACTATATGTTTCACATCAGCTTTATTAAAAGTGAGAACTGTCGCTGATAAGTAAGTCTCATTTATCACTTCACTATTGCTTTTCTGAAGATTCATTTTTAATAGTGGTTAATTTTTTTTACTGCATGGTGGCATGCGCCCGTATCATTTTTACATCTTAGAGAACTGAATCTAGTACCAAACGCCTAGTTTTATCTACAACCATGTGTAGAAATAGGGCACTTTGGTGTCAAATATTGATCGATTTTTTTCTGTAATTGGACTTCTGTTTAGGCGTGAGAAGCCTCCTACTTAGTTATGGCACTTCTTGTCGTTTAAGGTTCACGCCAGATTTCGTTTTGCGACGTGGATTAAGTACTGCAGAAATGAATGCTGTTGATGCGATACATCGAGCAGTTGAATTTAATCCTCATGTTGCAAAGTATCTATTAGAGATGAAGCCACTGATATTACCTCCAGAACATTTATTAAAGCGTGGAGATTCGGAAGCTATTGCCTATTCGTTTTGGCATTTGCAGCACTGGAAGAGAATCGATGGCGCCCTTTCATTGTTGCAATGCACTTGGGAAGGAAGTGTGTTTTATCTTTATTGTTTATTATGGTGAAATTCCATGAATAACATAGATTGCACATTATTAATGGATTACAAAGGAATATATTAATAAACTATTCTCATTCAGCATTTCGACTGATACCAAATCCTCTGGAAAAGGGACATCTTTTTTATCCTTATCCATCGTGCACTGAATCTGCTGATAGGGAACTTTTACCGTGTAAGTTCATTTTAACAGTTATTAATCATTATTTGACCATGTATTTTATATATCAGAGATTTATAAAATTAGCTATGGAATAACTACCCTGTTAAAATGATTGCTCTAAACTAAATTCATTACGATATAATGCGGGATTGTAGGAAAAAAATCAATTTAAGAAAAAATCAATTTTTTTCGCCTAGTATATCACATTTTTTAGCATGGCATAAAGTATCAGTGTATCCAAAGCGTGATTTGCCATTCTTCACCGTATTGACAGCTTTGCTTTTCTTCATCACTATCGTTTTGGCCATTATCACCCATCAGTATCCAATGGTGATCTTTTGCACCTTTATGTTTATTAATAAATTGAAAGACACTTTGAAAGTATCAAAAAGAAGCTTGTCGGTGGTGGATTCCACAAAAGTTTATATCAAATATAAACTTCCGTGGGGATCCATTGGTGATTGTTGCTGTGCTGCAGCATTTCCAGTAAATTAACACTCCAGTCGAGCACGAATTAGGCATTTCTTGAGTAGTTCTCGATTTTTGGTAAGTTTTGATCTCATTTATAATCTTCCTTCGGTAATTTTAGATTTTCATGACTTTTTGTTGGCTGTTGTATTGTTCAGTTATAACATTCAGTAATTTTAATTGCAGGAATTTATACAACCCTTGACTTCGATTGCAAATTTATTCTTCGGTTTTATTGACAGTATTTGTAGTCTTGTCCCAGATAATGTTATTAATCTCCTCGCATCAAAACCGGTCGTTCTACCTTCTAGTGATTCTATTAGTTGAACTAGCTTGGTGCTTTCATAATTCATGTAAGAAAAAATAGATCGGTATGAACATGAACCTTCGAAATGAAAAGAGCTTTACTGAATTTTGTCTTCAAAAAATAATGTATTAAGAGGATTTTTTGTGCTTTTCAGGATTTCAGTTAGCAAACCACCTAGAATTTTGATCGATTTTAATAGAAAAAATCTGTGAAATGGTTTAGTGGCTTTCATCATTGCTTAGAAACTTTATATTTTAAAAATTAATCAACAGTCATGGTGCACATGTATGAGCTAATTTTACCAATTTAGTAACATGTTGGTACAGAACACAGCGTGTCATTGTCTGTTATTTGTTTGAGATCTCAAGCACTTCGTCAAGGATAACATTATCCTTCAAATGGCTGGATTATAAATCTTGTTATTATTACTGTCTTTGTTTTTATCGCAGTGTGCTTGGTTAAACGATATGGTTAATAATAAATAGTCCAATGCTTTGATTTTGATTTGCTCGCTCTTTCATCCGGTCTCCTCTCTCCTCTTTCTTTTCTTATTCGTTTTTAATATTAATGTTCACCGATAATGTTAATGTTCAACGATCATTTTAGAGAAAAATGTTCAACATAACAAACTGCAGACCGTTTATAAATTACGATCCTTTTCTCTGTATATGTGTGTGTTGTTGTTGTTTGATATTGTAATGTTGCATTTATATCAACTCATTAATTTTCCGTTGAAGTATTTTTAAATGATATATGTAGTTGAGTTTTTTATTGTTTTTTTTTTGTAAATTGTCATTGGATATTTCAATGATGCATTTTTATTGCATTGAACAATTTTCATGTCAATAAACAGCGAATAAAACAGTTTGTTTTTCAAAAAAAGTGAATGTATTCTAGTTTGAATCTCAATCGTTTCATTATTTTAATCTGATATTGCGTTTGTTTTCATATTCTTTTGGACTTCCATTTTTTATTAGGCGTCTTTAATCATTCGTTATTCAGCCATGCCGTTCCTTACCGGAAACTCTTACTTGTAACTTCCCAGTAAAATCCGAATTGTCCGTTATGTGCTGTGTGAATTTATTACCTTACCGGAAACTCTTACTCGTAACTTCCCACTAAAGTCCGATTTGTACGTTATGAGCTATGTGAACTTATTAAATAATGCGTCGATGTTACTTGGTTCCCAATACTCATTTTGTTTTATTCCAAACCGTAAAAGTGGTTTTTAGTTTTGATTCTTGGAGGATGGAATATGTATGCAACGACTAGCAACATTTGTCCGTAAAGTTTTTTTTTCTTTATCTGAAGGTTTTAATGTCAAGCAGTGGACCATTCGGTACAGCTGTCGAAGCAAAAAGATTGGTTGAAAATTTGCTGTCGGATTTGAGAACGCTTTCGACAGAGGCCAGGAAAAAGCATTCGCAAGTTAAAGAGGTACGGATTTGTTACATATTATAGTAAATCGGCCGTACTGTTGACGTTATTTCGAACTCGAATACTGCGAAAATAATTTAAAATATTCAGATCATGAGTTTTAGAACCACCCGCCACTTTGCAACGGGGTTTTCAAATTTCTGATTAACATGCCTTATACTTTCGTTTTCGTAGTTGCTACATTTGCAGTTTTGCAGGCGGCTGAATCAGGTCTCGTGAAGATAAAGAATATTACTGCAGCATCCAATGAGCAAAATCTATTGACAAACATACGTTGTGCTAGTGCCGAATTGTTACAACCGCTTATTTTGGGTTGTTCAAGTAAAAATGCTCGCCTTGTTCAGGTGTCTTTGCAGGCCATTCAAAAGATGGTACAGCATCGAGTTATTGAGTCCGTACGTTCTCGTTTCATGTTTTTTTTTTCTGGCTCTTAATTAAGCTAAAATTGGTTTAATTGAGTGATGCTTCTACTTTTCTAACAGCTCTTATGTTTTCTATCAGCCGTAGTTGGAGCGGTAATCCAATTCGTTGTTGAGAATTGCAGTTATAAATGGAGCTTGAGTGACATTTCTTGTGAAGTCGTTACAAAAATTTAGGAAAAGTTTTGAAAATTGTGCGTGGTTAGTGAATATTTATTATAGGCCTCTGCTCACATTATTGTTAATGAACTTTGGCATTTGATGGAAGCAGAATGTGAAGAATTACGAGTCTTACAAACATTGACACCTCTTGTCAGCACTGAAATACTAGTCTCTGGACAGTGGCTCGCAAAGGTGAAATTCATTGATATTTTTCGCATGCAATACTATTTCGAGATTCTGATGCAAATTATCATCTTATTACGTCGTGTTACTTGTTTTTTTCCAGTGCTTAGTGATGTGCTTCCGTTTAAATTTTGCAAAAGACCCAATTGTAATAAACACAGCATCAGCAACTGTGCGACAAATGGTGAACTGTGTTTATGAACGAGTTATCCAGGTAACTTCATTTCAGAACCTCTTTTTGTTTACTTATTTAATATTCTTCATATTATAAGATTAGTCTAGTACACATTTATGATATTATTACATGCTGAAGTATACTACCGCGAATTAGTTATGCTGTCCGTCGTTGTACTGTTTCGGACAGTCTATCCCGTATTGATTAAACCATTATTTGGAATATTTCGTTATTATCGGTTAAAAGAAGTGCTCCAAATGCTGAAAAATGATTTACGAAAATTTAGAATTATTTGTTGCCATATTTCCAATGAGTGATTTTTTCAAGGAAGATGGTTTGAAAGGTTGTGAAATGCCAATCGTTCATCAAACTGTACGAATACATGCGAAAGCTCCGCCGCCGACATTAAGGCCACGCGCCTCGGATGGTTACATGTTGCTTTATGTAAGCCCAATTTTTTTCCATCTGTTATTTGCAAAGCGTTTTTCCTTATCTTTCTTGCCCTCATTTTTTCTCTTTATTTTTAGATTATATAGTAGGTGTTTTATCTGTTGGGCTATGTAAACAGTGTGAACTATAGCCATTTCAAGACGTTAAGTATCTTTAACCATCATAATTTTTATTCTTTTAATCTGTCTTCATTAATGAAAGTGATTTGTGTATTCTTTTGCAGGATCTTTGCTTGCTTATCAACTCTGAGGCTCCTCTTTGGTTAATTGGTATTCAGGAAATGACGCGTACATTAGGTTTAGAATTGTTAGAATCAGTGCTTTCTTCTTATCCGTCTATATTTGTCAAGGTTTTTACTTATCTGTATTACTTATCTATATGTATGCGGCTTATTGAAGGATGTGGTTATCATTTCATTTACAGAGCAAAATTTTTGAATGTTTTAAGTAAATCGAACAGACTTTATCTCAATTTGCACAATTTTTTGGTATTTCTATCTTTTCAATATTTGGATCTTTTTTTGCAGCATTCCGAATTTGCTCAGTTGTTGAAAGACCAAGTATGTCCCCTAATCATTAAACTGTTCGCACCGAATCATAAGCAGATGCAGGTTGCTCCTCATTTCATTCTTATAACCAATTTTCTATTACCGTATTTGTTTTGATGATACCAGCTTTCATTGTTTCGGTTTTGTTCGTAGTAATCCGGGATTTTGTTCAATGCGCAGATTTGCTCCATACAAAATATAAATTTATTTGATCTAGATCACATTGCAACATCCATGTTCACCAAGCACACATGCATCATTAGATTCCATTTCATCACAAATACCATGTTCACCTGAGCGTGTATATTTTCCAATTTCGATGCGGCTTCTACGTGTTGTCGTAATTTTGATCACGCTTTATTACAACTTATTGGTTTGTTTATGATATTTTTGTGCCTTAATTTAGTTGAAATCAAGAATTTCCTGGTTTTGAACGACTGTATTTACAGGTTACAGTCAGGAGTGGGAGAAGAATAGATTTCGTAATGGACTGCTCGACGGCTTAATATATTATGTTAATTTATTATGCCGTAGATTAATTTGGTAGTTTCAGGTGACAGAATGTGAAATCTTCTTAGCATTGCTAGTTAAATTTCTGGAATCCGATAAGCTAGGATGGCAGCGTGCTATTGCTCTTGAAGTCTTGCATAAAATTGTTGTTTTGCCCGAACTTTTGATGTATATTTTCATTTCATACATTTTTTTACTTGTTCATGAAGAATTATTGACAATAGGCTTGTTAATTCATCTTTTTTTTTTAATTTCCATATTTTATCAGTGGTCATTAGTGTTACTGTTAAGTAGATTTGATTTAGCTGGTGCTGTGAAAATTACGACGCAAAACCAAGCGCCACGAAAGCGATCAATTCGATCGTGTCTGGTTTGGCAACGTACGTACAACTGTCATTTTTGCGTCCCAATGTATCAGAAATCAGTAAGTTTATTGTGGAGAGAAGATTTTTTGTGGAGTTTAACAATAATAGATATTTCAAAATGCTGTAACCATAGTTAACACTATGGCAAAAATATTATTTGCAAATTCGACCCACATATTTGTCTTTGTTCCATTTCAGGCTGTACAAACATTAAAAGTTAACATCTTACCGATTTTATCCTAAGCAAAGAGCCAAGTGTAGAATTTCTGAAATTTCCATCCTGAAGTAGTACATTTAGTAGTACATTTAAAGAGCCAAGTAGTACATTCTGCAGATGCAAATGTATTTGGTTACCTAATCTTTCGTTGAATTGTGCTGTAAGCTGCAAAGATTGTTCAAAGTGTTATTTCAGCTACTAAAGATGAGGAACAATTCGAGGTGAACGTTCAGTCAGGCTCACAACCAGGTTTCCAGTATCGTGATATGTGGATTCCACTGTGTCAGAATATTACCCCCAAGAAGTCTTTATTGTAATTTTTTTTTTTGGTTACATTACTTATAATTAGTCAATGAGGAGCGAGAGGATCAAAGAGAATATATTGATAGATGACGTCTTCAGGTGTTTTATTGATACGCGCACTTGTGCCATCGGCAAGGGCGTATTTTGCGCTGAACCGCTGAGCCTTGGAATACTTGTCTATATGTGTTTCATTTCAGTTGTTCCATGAATATTTGATATATAAAAGCTTCGCTAATTTCAGGTTGGATTCCCTAGAAAAACATGAGGCACTGAATTTGCCTAGTGGCTATTCATTATCTTTAACTTATTATTGTATAAGCAGCTGCTGTCAATCAGTTTTCGAAGCTATTGAGTCCCTGCGCTCTCGAAAAGAAAAGAAAGGTTGTAATGAATATGTGAAAAGCTCGTTTGTCTGGTTAAATATGCATGAGGAGTTTTTCAGTTTGATTAATAAAGCTCTTTTTTCATCCAAGAAAGAAGTAACCAGTAGTGTTTACAGACATAGCACAAGAACTGTATCAATCAACTTATACAAGCCTTTTAGTTGCAATTTCACTTTTCCTGGATGCAAGGTGAGGATGATTTTAAACATTTCAATCAACAAATGAATCTTCGAACCTTAATTTTTAAAGACAAGTATTTGCATTTTTTAAAACAGTTTGGGAATTACTTTATAGAATTCTTTATTACTTGTTTTTCGATCGTTAAAGGTTTTTTTTCGTATCCCTGGTTTTAGCATCGATGAATCGGTAACAGAACAACTCTTGAAATGCTTCGTCACAATGACGCTTTTATCCTGCCGTTTGGGTCATACAGCTGGCCGTGATGCTGCGTATTTTGCGTTATGTAAAGCTGCGTTACCACCTAAATATTTGGTGCGATTAGCAAGTGCTTCTGGTGGTTTAAGTGTCATACCAGGATCTTTAATTTCGTCTAATTCTCACTTGGAAAAGGATACTTTAGGTGGTATGTTGCCAAAAATTCAATTACTAATAATTCTTAGATTGTTTGAAATTCATTCATTACATCGTAGGTAGCATTGGGGCACGCAAGATACATTCAGTGTCAGCTTTGTGATGAATTTTATCGTTAGTCTCATACACTTTTGCAGATTGTGTTTTCAAAAAGTTTAACATCCATTTTTTACTATTTTAATGTTTTGGATAATGTATTTGTTTAGTGTCTTTGCTACATTGATCATCGTTGAAATATTTTTATTTTCTTATTTTAAGGTTCTAAAGTGGAAAAGGTTGAAAATGAATCAGTATCGAGTCAGCCGTGTCAAATTATAGCTGTTAGTACTGTTTGTCCAACTCCTTCACTTCCTTTAAACTTTTACAGTGGAACTGTCATGGTATGTCCCTTTCGTTCAAATCTGGATTAACTTGCTCCAATCTCGGTAGTTTTTCCGGAAGATTTTGGCTGTTCGAAATTTCGTTTCAAATGGATTCGGTAAAATTCTACACCTCTTGTACCAGTTATTTGTTTTTTAGTTAACTGCCAAGAATGTGCAAGTGGCACGTGTACTGATAAGCTCTGCTCAAGCTAATGGTCAAGATTTGGGTGATTGTTGGCACCTTGTGCTAGCTTCAATGCAACATTTAGTATGGATTTTGGGGATGACTCCAAGTATGCAAGGTGGATTTCGGTCTGATGGTATGTGATGCAATTATGAATTGATAACAATAATTTGTTGAACCTTATATCAAAGCTAAAATTGTTGTGTATATGAGTGGTAGAAACAGTAATTTCAGTTCTTAGTAATTCTGAGTAATTCTTCAAACTCAGTCACAGAAGTAGTTTTCTCTCAAAAGAGAATATTCTACATCTTTTATATATTAATGCGATTTTAGGCGAAACCATTGATGGAACCTCACTAGTAACTGGTTCGCACTCCAACACCAATGTTCTGACAACAGCTGCGATGGCTGATGTTCCCGTTGTAGTATGTTTGTTTAATCATTTTCACATTTAGGAGAAGATACTATTAACTGATTTTAAGAATTGACATATTTATATTGTAAGTAAAAGTTTTCTTGCTATGAAATTTATCAAATTTTAGGCAGCTATGCTAAATAAATTATTTGATTCAACGGCCACGCTTGATGATGTTGCACTACACCATGTGATCGCCGCGCTATGTAAACTTTCTTCTGAGGCAATGACCGTAAGCAACTTCTGAATTTTTGAATTTGTTCAGAACCAAGGAGATTTACTGATGTAATAAAAGAGATTTTAGGTATCCCAAAATGGTTCTCGTGAGCCTTCTTTTTTCCCTGTTGCAAAGCTACAGCAGACGGGGATGGCAAACCTTGCACGTTTAGAAGTATTTTGGAGACCTGTAACGGCTCATCTTCTTGAGGTAACACATCACTGGCACTATATGTGTATTCCTGTCATTTATCCACTATATCACACAGCGAAACAATTAAAAATATATTTACAAAACTGTTTTGTACTGTTGAAGGTATCAGGACATCATCATGCGAAGTTGCGAGAGTGGGGCGCACAAGCGTTAACAGTATTGGTGAAAAGTGCTTTAAAAGTAAAAACCGCAACTGCAGAATCGGTTCGTTGCACTTTATTAGTATTGTATAATTATAGTGCGGATGTTCTAATTCTTTAAATTCATTTCTCATAATATTTTATGTTCTTTCAGTATGGTCTGTAGGGTGGTAGGGATCGGACAATATCGATAGGACTTCAAGAAAAATGAAGATGAATTTCGTCATATTGCGCGATAGTCTTGATGTCTTCAGTGATTTTTATGAATCGTTTAGGTTATCGGTGCTTTTTAAATGTTCGCATTTAAATTCATTTCATCTCATCTATTTATAGAAGCGTCAGCAGTTGATACTGTTACCTTTATCGTCAATGTCCGAAATTGAATATACGGATGTACGCCGAAAGCAAATCGAATGTCTTGTAAATGTATTACAGTCAGCTGGGCAACAGTTAACCTCGGATCAGTGGCCAACCGTTATTGAAACTGTTCGTGTTGTTGTAGCTGGGAAATTAAGGTTGCTTTTTGCCACATTTTTCAAACTTTTATATCACGACTTTCTGCATATTTGGTTGGGCTTCGGTCTGCTATGCTAGATTGTTGAACTCTTTAATTTATATACCAATAGACTAACAGCAGCTGAATTCATAAGTTTTTGTCCATGTTTTCAGAACATGCTCAAACATTTTTATAGAAGTGGATGGTTATCACTTGACCATGAAGAGCTGGTAGCATTAGATTTTCTCTAGAAACAGGACGAATTTACTGCCTTCGGACTTCTATTAAAATTTTAGTTACGATGAAGTACTGGTGAAACAAAGTTATGAGGCGGTGGCGTTGATGATTACAGATTTCCTTGAAATATTACCCTTTCATTGTATACAGCTCCTTGTTGAAACCGATGCGAAATATGGTGCTCAGCAGTGCGAATTAAATATATCTCTCTCAGCTCTGGGGCAGTTGGTAAGTTCTGCAACATAATAATGAATAATTTTAACCGAGAGGTAGGCAAAGGTGCCTATAAAAAAACCTTGAAAGTGTAAGCATATATGTGGAACGATTTGCTTATTTCAGTGGACAATTTCTGATTTTGTGTACCGGAAGAGTCCAAAACTTTCGCAGAAAGAAAGTGAAACAATTTGGCTGGTGCTATACAACTGTCTTTCCGAGTTGTGCGTTGATGTTAGACCACCAGTTCGTAAAAGTGCTTGTCAGACATTGTTACAAACAATTGCTGCGCATGGTTTGGCGCTGAAACCGGATACATGGAAACATATGGTCTGGAAGGTATTGAAATATCACTCTTTATTCCTTCCTGAGTTTCGGAAGTATTGTCCGCGATTTTAATTATGCAAGTTTTAATGCTAACTTTTCATCCTTAAATTTTTAATTTCTAGTTATATTCACAGAATTGGTAGTAAAAGAAATTCTTGAAGTTCAGATACTTTTCCCAATGTTGGACAAAGTACGAGCTCTAACACTTAGCGCTTCAACAACGCGAACAGATAGCTCAGCTTTGGGTGCTTCAAACATACTCATACATCATTCGAGAGATACCGAATCGAAACAGTGGGCCGAAACGTCAGTTCAAACCCTCAGTGGTGTTGTCAAAATTTTCAATGCCCAGCGAACACTTCTGCTTGCACTTGGTTGGTTCAATTTATTTTTTAAGCGTTTCAGACAACTGTATTATAATTTGAATTCGGCTATGAGTTAGGTAAGCAAGCAAGAACTGCATATTGAGTTTTACTGAAAATCAACCATTGATGCATTTCAGATGACTTCCCGGCAATCTGGGCGACTCTTCTCCATTACATCGAATACTTAGCTGCGTCTGATAATAGTGAAATGACACTGGCTGCACTTAAGAGCTTCCAGGTTTGTATTAATAAAGCCAAAGCTTTCCTTGTATTTCTTGGAGAAATGCCGAAGTTCGAAACGTTCAGACTTCCACTGCTATTTTCAGTATTTTCAATGTCTAACTAACACTTTTGCATGTATTTGGTCGGTTCATTTTAATGCTCCACTTGTTGCTTCGAAGTTCACTGTGATTTTTCACATAAGTATGAGAGAAGTTTGCAGGAATTGTTGTTGGGTAGAATACCGTCACAAGGCTACGAAATGAGTAAGAGGGAAAGATTTGCCAAGTAAGTTCTGTTTTTTTGATCCAGTTTTATGGTTAACAGCAGTTCTTTCATGATTTATTCTTTGTTTTTTACGAGAAACGAAAGTAGGATTTCTTAGAAGGGCTAAGAACCTTTGATGTAGTCCTGTGTACTTCCGTTGTGTGTAACTATGTTTTAGCTGTGCTTATGGAAATCATGTTGGTGATGAACCGCCTGTTTTGCCGGAACATTTATGGATCACCTCTTGGAAGGTACGTTTCATGCTTTTGTTGAAATCATGACAATTTTGCAGTGGAGGCATCTCTGTTAATAAAGTTTAGCTATAACTTATGAATTTAAATCGCATTATTTATAGTTATCTCAATATATTGCAAAATTAAATTGAGTAAGGTGATTTAATAGCGGTTGTTTAAGAGTTGGATGGTTATTTCACGGACGTTGGTTCTGAGTAAACCTTTCAAATTTGATGTCCAATCGGACGCTGCGGTGCTTTTATCTGAGAGGTAAAATTTGTTTTGGCGTTTAGGTTTATCAAGTCTTCGAGTTGTGATTGATCAAAAGTTGGAATTGTGAGTGTAACATATAAGTTTTTAAGTAATTTTATTGATCAAAGTAGTACTTCGGTCATCTTATAATATCGTGCGAAGTTGATCCTCTTTTTGTTAATGCTTGTTGATTAAATATGCTCGTAATTTGCTTATTGAATGACTTTAGAAGTTAGAAGTATGACATTTCTGATAGATCTTCATATTTTGCAAAAATCTTATATTTAAATTTCAGGAGTGGAGGGAAATTTATCCCCGGACAAATACATCTCATCATTTTACTTCACATATTCATCCCTTTATTTGAACGAGTTCGGAAGAAAATTTCATGTGATGATTTGAAATTTGATGAAGTACCGAATATTTTAAAGGTAATATAATTTTTAGTGAATGTCTTAGGTGATAAAGTATTACTGACTTTTTCAGGGTATTGTTAGTGTACCACTGACTGCAGAACAAATCCCGTTTATGCTGTCGAATGCAAATGACATTACTCCAACTCTTGAAGCTGTTCTCAATTGTGTTCGAATTATATATCAAGTATGTTAAACAGTGAATTCTTACTACTGTAGTTTATAACCATGATTTGCTAACAGAAGAGCTGTTTGACGGATGTCCTTTCAGGATATGTTGGAAACAGGTTCATCGTTACGCCCAGCTTTGCCTGATCTTATTCGTTTGATGCTTGATTTCACAACTTTTGCTATCCACCAGCCAGTCACCGAACATGAGACAAACAAAACCGAAAATGTTTATTTTGCTTATTTTTTGAAATTTAACTACATATTTCAATTTATTCCAGTAATAAATCCTCACGAGTTTGTTTATTGAATCATTTAAATACATTCTATTTTCAAATCAGTGGTTTCGGTTATCTTTTGATGAAAATAATATGGTGCCAAATCCTAGTCGCCATTTAAATTTTAATTTTTCTGTGAAATTTTTTCATCATTGCTTGCATGCAACAGAAAGAAAAAAATCAGTTGTTTATCATTTTACTATTTAGAAAGGAGTACAAAATATGGTGCCTTTTGCGGAATTATCATTAAGAACAGTAGTGGAGTTCTACGCAGGTACCGCGCATTTCCAGGAAATTGTCCAGTCTACTGTATTTGTTGATATTGTTATGGTGCGTTTTTTGTTACAGTAATAGGAAGTTGGTTTCGAGGAAAGATTACTATCACTTTTTTATAAGCAGATCTGAAAAATGATTGAGCACAGATTGACACTGCGATTACTATGTCTTATATTGTACAGAAGAGATTTAAGATCCTAGATGGCTGAGATTTAATTGCACTGTTTAGTCTATTCGATAGCCAACCTATCATTTGAACTCAGCTGACTTTTCAATCCTACTGAATATTATTTTTTTTTTCATTTTTGTTTCTCCCCTATTATCTTTTTATTCCATTAGGTTAGCATGAATAATTTCCCAAAAATTTTCGTTCAGTGTTTGGCTCAACCAATGGAACTGAAATACCAGTGTCCCTCTCAAAGTACATGGAAAGCAGCAGCGTCAGCATTTGTTACAGTTTTACGATTAGGCCTTCCTATTGCCAGGCAGCAGCGTGAGTCTCATTTTCCAGAATATACAAGACATTTGTTTACTATGTTAAAAATAGGTTACATAAGAGCAATGGATAATCTTTGTTACTCAGTATTTATTGCTCAAAAAGTGCTCAAGTTTTGGAATCGTTTTGAGATCAAGCAAGTGATTAGGAAGCTATAATAAACTTTCATTGTTAATCGTATATGAGAAGTTTCAGCTCGTTATTTTCACACCATTTGGCCGGTAATCGCTGATACATTAGATCGTTTTCTGTTCAACAATAGGTAAGTTGGAATTTGTACTTTATGTTTCCAAGTAGCTTTGCTTTACATTTTTATACTTATATAAAGCTTGAATATTTTCAAACGACGATGTGAGACTTGAAAAATGGTTAGCTATATCATTTGTGAAGGTTTTATCTGTTTTTTCCTTTTGCAGTCGTCCTTCATGTCCGTTAAATGCTGATGAGCGAAAAAGACATGAATTTATCGACTGTCAGTTGATAGAACTGATCACAACTGAGGTAAAAATTCAGATTTCATTTGCTGAAATAATTTTTCCTGATTATAACCAGGTATCTTTTAGCTAAAAAAGTTCATTATTCTGCTTGTTTAGGTTCTTTTCTTCTTTCGTAGAAAAAATGTTCATTTTAGATGCTGCCTTACGCAAGCGTTCTACCAGCGGATTTTATTCAAAAAATAATCGATATACTGAATCGTGGTTCCATAAGCACTGTGGATTCCTCTGATGTCTTTGGTACCGTTTTATGGCGAGTTTGAAATTACACAAAGCTTTGATACATTATTGCAATGTCAAAATTTCTTCAAATTCGTGATTGAATGTGGAATCATAAGCTTATTTGAAATATTGTTTCTTACCTATGCTTTGATCGGTACTCCTTGTTAAATTTAGTCTTCCTCAAGTAGCACTTATTGGTAACATTTTCTTGTAGCTTTAGACACATGTGCACAGCGAGCAGAGTTATCTAAAGTATGCTTTGAGGCGCTATTATCAATGAGTCAGAATGAGGAGCAACCAGATATCGTGCGGAGTGCGGCACCAGCACATTTTCTTGATGGTATGAGTTATACTGGTAATTAAAATCCGAAATTTTTGATGAAATTATTTGAAACAAATGTGTAATGAAATCCGTCCTAAGCTGCATTTGATTCAACTTAATCCAGTTGACGGTATAATTCATGTTTTATTCATTTCATTCTGGCCAAGGTTTCGTAGATAAAAAATGACTGGAATGTTGTTTTGAATTACTCGTATCGTTCAAGAAATTGATTAGTTAGAATTTCCTTTTTTTTAGAGTCAGTTACTGATGATATCAAAGAAGCGAGTGGAAATGAAAAAGGAAGACAGTGTATCGCATCATCAAGCTTAGGTACTTCCGCAATCTCGTCATTGCTGGCCAGATGCAAAGAAGTAATCATCTATACTGCGATTTTTCCATAGCTATATATGCTTTAATATTTTACCATATTTTGCAGTTATTACGTATGATCCAATGCTGAATGAATCAATTTCTTTCTGTAGGTAATGTTATCTTTCGTTCGTGATCAGTTAAACGCTGGACAGTTGCGCCTTTCTCAGGAGAGAATTGTTGAAATGGCGTCTGTGTTGCATGCCGTGAGTACACTTATCGATGGGCTTGTACGTCATACGGACAACTTCAATTTAGAATTCTATGCGGAACTCGTTAACCTCTATCCAATTCTTGTAGATTGTGTTGCAAGCACAAAAGCAGATCCTCAGGTTTGTAGCTTTAACACATGATACTATTTATTTTCTTATAACCGTTAGGTCTTCATAAATATCTGCCACTTATGGAATTAGTAGCAAGTCCAGACTTTTTTTGGCTACATTGTGGTTGTAGCATCTTTTCCATTCACTCATAATTGCCGAAGAGATCAATTCTATCATGCTTTAACACATGCCACTTCCATACCTTATTTATACTATGCTTCAAAATTTGTTCTTTCTATTCAGCATATTGCTGTTAGTTTTGCTGATGATTTGCATATTCTTTAGGTGGCTTTTATTAACAATCTAGTGACTGCAGAAAAATTACCGCAAAAAATTATTCCAGGTTGAGCAGGCATTGATTACTGCTCTTAAATCCTATCAGATATTATTGTTGCTGAATGTGCATAAATTCGATAAGGAACGGCATTAACTAATGTTATTTAAAAGTAAAAAGAATGCGAAGGAATCGTTGCATTACAGTATTGTCATGCTATAAATTGTTGTTTGATACGGGTTAGCAAGTTTAGCTGTGTTAAATTGTGTTCAAGCAGCGTATTAACATACTTTTTTTGGACTTTTTCTGTACTTGTGAATACTTCGAGTGCGAGGTTGAATGCACGAAGTTGTAAATGGTGGCAAGCGCTTGATTGAAAATATTCAACTTTGATACTATTTCTCGGATTTATTTTTGAAATTTTCATGCTTCATTAGTTATTATTGTAATTATTTATATTTTGTTTGTGACATCATTAAAATTACATTTGTTTCTTCAAATAGATATTTGGTCTTTTTATTTTTTGAAAATATGAAATATAATGGTTTAATCAGTAATATTTAAATATCATATTGTCCATTTATTTGTGTATAACATTTCTTTTATATATGTTAGAAAGCTTCCGTTCTTTTTCTTTCTGTGCTATTATCCTGTGCCTGTGATTCTTGCACTTTCTTTTATGTTGCTATGGATGTTCGTGTTATGTTTTGGACGGATTAACTGAACTGTTCACTTATTCAGTGTAGCACACCTCTTTTCCATCTTATTCGACGGATTGATTGAACTGTTCACTTATTCAAAATACACCTCTTTTCCATCTTATTCATCCGGTTTTGTTTTACTTTCACCAGGACACATTTGTGGAACTGTGGGTTCATTCATTTTTATCATGGTGTTGATAAGCAAACATAATTTTCCTATTCTCTGAAATATTTTTATTATGATTTTTTTGTGTCAATTCTGTTGACGGAATATTCATGTGCATAGATTAGGTCTTAAAAAAGTTTATATTGTGCATATATATATGTATATTGGAAAGTGCAATTATATTGCATATTTCGTCTAGGAACTGAAACATAGTGAAAAAATTTGCGTATGCAGTGAAGAAAGTTCAATTTTGAGTAATTATCCACAACTTATTTCTTCACCGTCATCAGTATTTTCATCAAGTTTTTGGGACGGGATGGTATTGGAGTTTGCTAGCATCTAGAAATGAACTGAGCAAAGGATAAGCTTGGATAAGGTGGTAGACATACTGATATCAACGAATATGGACGACTGATTTGTTAATAATTCCATTGTATACAGCCATCTACGATGCGAAGCAAATACAGTAGCAGAAATTAGGTGCCAAACGAACGAAAATATTTGAGTGCAATTTTTTATTTGATTTCCTTCCAAAATGTATATTAGTGTTAAGAAATCATACGACTTTTGTCTGATTTCACTTATCTTGATTGTGCATATATATCAGATTGTTCATAATTTAATTATGTTGTTTTATGTTGAGTTATGCATAATTTATTACAATTTTTATTATCTTTGCGAGGCTCGTGATATATATTAACGCTTTTTCTTATTTTGCATTCCATGATAAATATCTGTCAACTTTATTTGCCTGTTTTCTTGCCATAAATGCATCAACGGATTTTTTTTGTATTGCTACATTAATTTAAATTTGAGCTAAAAATAAACCTTTTTTAAGTTGAAAGATAGGTTGCTGAACTATTTGTATTGAGGTGGTGACTAGGATTTCTTTTTCTGGGAAAAAAGAAGCGTAGTTGAAGTGGATAGGTCATAAATTTAAAGTTTGGTAGTATGGGTCAATTTCGCAGAAACTGTTGGAAATCTTAACGCCGTCTGCGGAATGCTGCGATAACTAGCAAATGCTAAGTTCATTTTAGTAGCAAGCATAAATGAAATCTGGCCCGATCCGTTGAATACTTGTTAATCGTTGAATATTTGTTAAATAATATATATATATTTATATATATTATATTATATTATGGGACAGGCTTGTGCTGCGATAAATGAAATTGATTATAGAATCACTGGGAAATATAATAAGGAGTAATTTCAGCTTGGCTGCTTTGTCACCATAGTTAGTCTATAATTCAGTGAAGTTAGGTGTTATTTGAGACGAGCAAAGATTAATTTAAATTTTAAGAGCAAAAAAATGATCGAAATTTTGCAACGAAAAAAAACCGTGGAGATTTCATTATCGGTCGAGTCATTTTACGATCAAGGGTTGGAAATTTTTGCTAATATGATTTGTTATTTGATATTGAAAACAACAAGATTATGAAGCGAAAGGGGTAACGAAGAGTGAAAGAATTAATTTAATTTAATCGAGTAATCATTTATTTATAGGATTGAAAATAGTTTTAGCTCGCTGTCATAATTTTATCCACATTGTACTATCTTATATAATAGAACATTTAAACTCATCGAAGAGTAACAGATAAATTTGCTGATAACAGTAATTTATCAATACACAAATTCTAGTTTGCTGTTTTCTTGCATTTATTTATTTAATTTTAAAAAAGAAATTAAATAGAATGTAACGGAATTAACCAGAGAAGATAAAGAAAGAAAGATTTGATATCGATGAAGTAATTAAATAATAATTACAATTTCGATATTTTGAAAAAAAAAACAATAGATGTTGGAAAATAGTAACAATAGCAGCAATGAAAAAAACTTTTCGAATTTTCAAAATTAAACTTAAAAAAAAACAATACGAAAAACATCATAATAGAAATTTCCTAAAATTCAATCTCGATTTATATTTTTCTTTTTAACAGAAATTATGGAGAAGAAATATATCTGATATTATATTTCAACAAAATTATTAAATTAGTTATAAATAGAAAATAGTATTAAAAATACATTAAAAAAGTATTATAAAAATATTTGAATTTATTTAAAGGTATTGATAATTTCGAATTAATCTGATCGATGTGTTATAAATTATCAATTAGTCCATTTCAATTCTAAATTTCCTTTTATTATATATATTTCATTTTCACACTTAAAATAAAGAATTTTCACTTTTCATTTTCATTTTCATATTTCATTTTCACACTTAAAATAAATGTTCCGTTCACTTATCTGATAAAAAAATCGAACTCATACAGGTTGGTAATTTAATAGAAGATTAAAATGAATGATAGCAATGTAATTATTTATTTACAGAACAAAAACACATTTCAGGAATGATAAGATAACACAATGAATTGTAAACGGTAAATTGAAGAAATGCTTGTTTGATCACAAATCTTATGACTGCTATGTTGAAATAAGCATGAGTAATATGAAAATCCCGCAGAGAAAAGTGAATCATTCACTTTTTTGAATTAGAAAATTTTAAAAATAATTTTATAATTTGCACGAAAAAGAAAAAGCAAAAGTTATAACATAGGTTTAAACAAAAATAAGTTAAGTTACATTTTTTTTAAATAATTTCATAATTTGCCAAAAAAAGTTATAACTTAATTTAAACAATTAATTTAGTATCGCACCATATTTCTAAAGTGAAAAACAAAAGAAGGGATGTGGCAGAAAATTTTTGTAATTAAAATTTGAAAAATTAAAAAAGTAATCATCCTAAATTTCTTATTTGTTTCACTTTTCAAATAAAATAATTTTATTATTGTAATTTCCTTTCTTTGTTTTTATTATCAAAAAAATGTGAAATATTTAGCATTTTTCAAAATTGGATTAATTCCCCAAAAAAATCAGATAATTTGATTTATCTAAAAAAATATTATGAGTTTCAATTATTCGATCAATCATTGTAGTCAGTTATTGACAAACAGAATGACATAAGGAAAATTGTAAAACTTTTCTTTCAATAAGAAATTACTCAAATTACGGCAACCAATTTCTTTTGTTTTAAAAATGATGGCGATTTCCTTAATGATGATGGAACTCTCTAATTTTAGCTCTTTAATTATGTTAAAGAGTTTTTTAAATAAACAATTGAGTATTATGAATTCATTTTTAATTTACAATAGCACAAAAATTGTAAAATTTTATGATAATTCTGAAATTTTTGCACCTATCACATATTATTTGCTATTGAAAATAAAATCAAAAGAACTGATTTACAAGATGAAATAAGTTTCGACAAATATTCCTGCAAAATCTGACCAGAATACCTAAATATGATGTGGCGATAATAATGCTCAAGCAAGGTAAAACATTATTTTTAAAGATTGTAAACTAAGAAATTGATAAATGTCGATGATAATTACTACAATGTTTAAACGGAGAAGCTTTAAAATGTTTTCCAAGACAGAATCAACACCATAAAAGGATCGCAATGACTGTTTGGTGATTTTATTGCAACAGCGGTTTTCTAAATCTTGTCAGAAACGTTATATCCGTTAAGTATGTTCAGAAAATCGATGACACACCGAAACCTGTAACAGTTTTAACTGGTACTCCATCGGAAGAGTGCTACATCACACACACACATCAAATAACTAATGCTTTAGAAGCGAAACCAATTGGAATTACGAAATTCCATCTTTTCCATCATATTCATCCATTCTTTCATCACTTCAACAGCGCTTCATTAAGAATTGCTATTTTTTTTTTTTGCAGGCAAAATGCTCTCATAATTAGCAATGTGCAGAAAATGTTTCCAAGGAGTAAATCGAAATGCACGACTTTCTATGTTTCAAGAATGAACAAATTGATTTTTCATTAACTAAGTGTATTGATCTGAAATTTAGAATCTCAATGTACAATTTTACTTTTGCAAATTTACCTTTAAATGTTTTCTCTTTTTCATATTTTCACTTTTCTTATTTGATTGCAAGAGAAAAGATAATGAAATAGTAATCGATCTATCTCTTCGTATGAGTTAATCATTCATAATAAATTATTTACAACATTCCAAATTATTTAAATTATTTACAACATTTACAACATGTAAATAAATTATTTACAACATTTGAAGTTTTCTCGGAAGTAAAATGTTAGTATTTTACAATGAATTGATGAGTAGTTCAGAAGAACTTATTTTGTATATTGTGGTGATAAGGGAAATATTATTTGACTTTGTATAGTCATTAAACAAGAAAACTTAAACTTAGCTTACCACAAGAAAGATTTTTACTTATCTCTTCATTTCGGTAAATTGAGGTTCCGAAAAGTCGAATTATATATTTCGTAATTTCAAGTATCGCATTATTCGTTATTGACTAATTATCTTTTAAGATTGACCTATTACTGTTAATGCTAAAAGCTCGTCCTGTAGATCCAATAATTTCAAGCATCGCTGTTTCTTTGGATGCTCTCAGTCATAACAGATACACGATTTTGTCTAGTCATTTTAGAATGGCAACTATTGTTTTCCATATAATCTGCATACGTTTAGATTATAAATAATGAAATTTGGATTTATGATCATCTGTGATACGTTATTAAACGACATTATTATAGCGATGACAAACACTTTAGGTATTGAGCATCGATTCACTTGATTCAGTTCAAGAAATTTGATTTGTTCATTTTGCAAACTATATGATTCAAGGAATCAATGGTTCCTTATTCTGGACTTGAATAATAAAACTATTAATTCGACCATACTATCATATGAGGCATAACAGATTAATACCCTAAAATTGTAGATAAGACTTTTTTAGTTTGAAAATCTTTTAAATTCTATTATTTTGCTTTACACAATTTAAATAGGAATTAATGACACTGTAACGATAAGATGTGAAAGATGGAAAATTCTGGCAAGATTATTTTTCGACGTATTCAATTTCAAATATGGAATATTTCAGAAAAGCATGCGTACTATTGCAATGTTAGTTTTGTTTTTCTATCCAGAAGCTTATTGAAGAGTTTTCTCCTTTGCAAATAATCATTTTATAATGCATTTTTCGTATGATCATCACTAAAATGACCGACAACTAAAATTAGTTGTCGGTCAGCCGCATTATTGCATTATCTTTTGTATTGTTCACGCAATTCAATCCATACATATATTAAACATGAACTGCATAACTGACAGGAAGAAATTAGACCATAGGTCACATAAAAAATCCAGGCTTCCTAATTCCTTTGTAATCGCTTAAGAGACACCGGAACCGATGCCGGCAAGTTTTTCATTATTGCGCGTCCTCTTGCCTACCGTAATCGAGGCGATGTGTTGCAGCTTCATTGCATGAAATTAGGAAATTAAGTGTACGTGTGTGAATATCTGTCTGAATATATATGTGTGTGTGTGCATGAGCGTGTGTGTCAGGTATGTATATAATGTGTACGTGTATGTGTTTACTTGCCGTGTTGACTACTTATCCGTTTAATGCTAATTTAATGACTACCTGGCACACACGTTGACCGTACCTTTCATAATTGGAATTATAGGGTTGCACAGTGCACTTACTTCTAACCCTTTTTTCCGTTGACTTGCGTTTCTGAATGATATAGATCAAATGGCGTTCTGGATACGTTTCCTGAAACTTTTTAGTAACATGGGAAAGTGAGACGGGGGTTTTCTTTTAATTTGATGAATAATTTTCATCGAATTACCTTTTTCCGGAATAGGCGGTCTACTGATTTACATATGTAGTCAATGTAGCATGAATCGTTACATGATTATCTGGATTTGACATTAATTCTGAAAATTTTTTAATTCAATTTTTTTGTTCAGTTTTCTTTACTCAAACATGTAATTAGGTGGCCATCTTAGATATCCTGGAGTTGGCTAAAGCTTATTAGCCAAGTTGGTTGCACCTGTCCTTTTTAAAGAGATCGGTGTTGTCATATATTACAATTTTCATACCTTAATTCAATATTTTAGGTCGCGTTTATTTTGCCTTAATGGACTCGGATAACGTACGATTAACAGATTTATCTGCTAAGGTCTAATATTTTTCCTGAATTTCTTTATTAGACAAGCTGGTGGTCTTATCACTTCAGAAGTGTGTTTTGCACTAAGCTGCAAGTATTCGGTCACTTACAAAGTTATTTTTAAGAATTAAATTATGAGCAGTTTGCTACGGGGCATGAAAAATAGTCATAGACTTCTCTTTTCCTCGATATTTGGCTGTGAAATAATCGAAATGATAGAGTTAAACCGGAATCGGCGGTAAAATTTAAGCAAAACGGTTTTTTATACAGAAAACATCAGGAAGAATTAACATTGGACTGCAGAAAAGACTGTTATATTTTCTTTTTAATCTCTTACTTTCTCCTTATCCTCCCTTTTGCTTTCCTTGTTTAATTTTGGTACCAGCAAGTTGGTGTAGTTAGATTTTATGATTTTCAGAAAAACGAGAAAGCAGCACTTGCAGGCACAAGTTCTCCATCAAAAATGCGCATTTTGAATTCAAAAAGATCGGGTCGTGTGCGAATTATGAGTAAGTAATCGTTTGATCCTACTACATCCTTTAGCTCTATTCTCTGGAGTCAATTTTAACGATTCAGTCGTACATCCACAAAAGTGACTTTGTAGATTGTATTAAATAAGATTTGGTCTAATTGACTTGTGGGTAAGTTCAGTGAGCTAGCTCATTAAAATTGTAAAACTGTCAATATTTCAGGTGAACTAAAACCTTTCCTTCCATTGTTGCCTGATGTAGCTGATATGGGAATAAAAGAACAAAAGCAACTTTTTCAACAGCTCTATTCTGCTGGAATAGCTGCTTCGGCCTCGCTACATAAGGTTATTTTAAAAAAATTTCAGTAAATCCTTTTTACTGATGTGTTTTTGATTAGCATAATATATATTGTCGTAACCGCGACGATATGGTCGTAATGGAAGTTGTTTGTCTGTTTTGCCTATTCCTATTGGATACCATATTGAGTAATATCCCAGGGAACGAAAGTAATTCTTTCTTCTTCAGATGTAATATCACATCCGCAGGCGGTGACGTGTAAACCGAAGATAAAAGGAGAGGGGGAGAGAGTATGGCTAAGTCAGGCTTATAATCTATTTTAAATATGCAACTGTGTAGAGATCATACGACTAATTTGTGAACAGTTTGGTTGGGTCGACTTTATAACTGGTGCTACCACAGAAGACAGCACGAATTTTTGATAGATTTATAAATTAATCTTGAAATAGAAACAATTTAATAATCTGTATTTTTCTTTCTAGTGGTTAACAATGAGTGCTGCCCAACAATTTCCTCGATTTTGTGCTAAATTTGATGCTACGGCATGTGTTGATGGGATGAAGGAGGATTTCTGTATTGATAGCGCACAAGTTGAGAAGGCTTATGATATTGCAGCGGCCCTTCAAAATACGCAATTATCTCCGAGTCAACAAATCCCATTCACCTCTGAAGATGCCGAGGTTTTCACCTTAACTTTACAACTTATTTTGCTGCTGTAGAAAAAGAGAAAGATTACTTGAAATATTCGGTATCACAGTGAAGAACTGTATAGATCGAAATAAAATATAATATCATAATAGTGTAATTAGCCTTTTTATTTCCCCATTTCCCACCTCCTTTTTCCTTTTCCTTTTCTCTTTTCATATAGTTTTCAGGCGTTGAAAACTCTTTCTCGTTCGGGCATACTGGATGATGCTGTCGAATCGTTGCGACAGTTTCCGTCATTGGAAGAGGACTTACTTGGTCTAAAAGAAGATCTAGCGGCTGCGAGCCTTATAACGCCTGATGTTTGTTTTCTTAATTTTCCTGATACAGCTTCTTTTTTAGAATATTTTAACATTTTTTTGATATTCTGAAACGTATCACTTCAGTGTATGAATGGCAGACTTTCAATTAAAAAATGTAAATAAAAACTTCCATTTTGATAATGGCGAAACAAATAGAATTTATTCGCGTTTGTAGTTGAGTGCTACAAATTTCAGATTGCGGCTGCTGCTTTATCTGCCTTTGCTGCTGCTACGTTACGACGGCCTCCTACACGAACAATAGAAAGTTTAATGGCAAGTTCTCAGGATCCTGTAACTACAAATGGAGGCCCCGATTCTACGGATGATGAGTCGTTGGAGCTGAATCTCAGCGAGGATGAATCGGAAGACAACGGCGACATGTTATTAAACCTCGCTGTCTGTGCTGGGGTAACGATGTTTGTCATTTAATTAGAAGGAAAATTACGATACCTAGATCCAAAAATGCTGTTGTACTTACATGTTATATACAAGATTACTGGTAATATGACAAACAAATGGTTATGGGTTTCTGAATATACTTATCTGGGTTTCGGATAGTTATCATTACTTGTAGAGTTATCGTTGGTTTCGAAATTACTAATCCAACTTCAAGATCGGAAGTGATATTGGTTTTACTTTTTGTAGTGATGGTATTTGAATGCTTTTCAAATATTGCATATCAAGTTTTTTTTTTGCAGTACTTAGATCTGACTAAGGAACTGGTTGAAATTCGAGGAAACCCGAATTATCTTAGTACAAATAATGATCGTACACCGTTGATGGAAGCTTGTTGCGCAGGTATATTATCCATTGCTTGCCTATAGAATGAGGTATGTGAATAGGGATCATGCTTTGCAGTAATCTGTGGAATGGGGTTATGTTGTGTAAATTGTTGTATTTAAAGTATGGAATCACAGTAAAGACTGTAGAAATAACCGGTTCAATCAATTTTACATTTCAGGACACAGTGATATTGTTAAGCATTTGCTGGAGCATGGCGCTGACATGAATGCTATGAGTGCGACCAAGAACACTCCACTGATTTACGCATCAGCTGCTGGCAACGTCGAGGTAAGAATTTTTTTAATAAAAGTGTGTCATGTATCTTCCTATGTATATAATACTTTTCATTTTTCATTTTAGTGCGCGAGCTTATTACTAGATTATGGTTGTGATACCACGATACGAAATGATAATGGACATTGCGCGCTCATGGAAGCAGCCAGTTCTGGTAAGAAAATTTTTAATTTCCCGCTCTTTACCATTGACAATCATAGTCCTCTGATGAGCGGATAGATTGAAATAAATGCGTAATAAATTTTGAAAATCTTTATTTCCTATAACCGTCATGTATTTGCGTTACTGTCGGAAATACATTTTATTGAATTTTTTCAATATCCATAATAATTTTCAATAATTTGAGTAAGCGTGCGTGATATAAGAAATTTTTAAGGTTATCTGGACGTTGTTTCCCTTCTTGTTCAACATGGATTTCAAGTGTTACCATGTAATCAAAGTGATCTGAAAGTTGGATTGGTGAGTGTAATATGAAACTTTTACTCAAGTTTGAAAAGATGTGGTTCGTGTGGATTTGTGATATTTGTCTTTTGTGCTTAGTTGCTTAAGTGGACATTTTTGCCGCGATATGCAACCCTGTCGGTTCATTTCACTGCCTTTATTGTAGCGTCGCTCGTAAATCGTGTTAGGATGTTTTAAGATGTGACAGATTTACACCGAATTATTTAACATATGTTTACAAAGCTATTGTCATGGGTGTTTTATTTTGCATGAAATGAAGTTTTGCAAGTTGCACATTTCAGGAATCAGCTTTAACCTTAGCGGCTTACAAAGGTCATTATGATGTAGTTCAGTTTTTGCTGGAAAAAGGTGCCAACAAATACAAAGAAGAATTACACACTGCCCTTATGGAAGCATCAATGGATGGACACTATGAAGTAGCAAAACTGCTGTTAGATAATGGTGCTCCAGTAAATTTAGCGTCAGATTCCTTTGAGAGTCCGTTAACTTTAGCTGCTTGCGGCGGACATCCTGATTTGGTTGGTTATTTCTTGACATATTGCAGTCAGAATTTTTTTATGATGGAGATATGGATAAATATGGCTTATATATGACTTATATCTAAAGAAACTTCCAATTTTTTCTAATTCCGAAAATTTAAAGCCGAATTGCAGTTAATTTCGTTTTTGATGATAAAGAAAAGAATTGAATTTGTTTCGTTATACATTTCCAGGTACGGCTCTTATTGGAAAGAGGTGCTATCGTGGAAGAAGTAAATGATGAAGGTTACACGCCTCTGATGGAAGCAAGTCGAGAAGGACATTTAGTATGTTTAAATGTATATTTCGTACAGTTCATTCTTTTTGGCATGGATCTTGAATGATTTTCATTTTTAGGAAGTTGTTAGGTTGTTGATCAAATTTGGTGCAAAAGTCAATACACAAACTGATGAAACTGGCGAAACTGCTTTGACACTAGCAGCTTGTGGTGGCTTCAAGTAATTGTCTTTTTAACGTATTCATAGATCTTGAAAAGCAAGTTTTTGGGTGCGCTTTCTCTAAAATTTCTTGGAATATGGATATCTGTTGATGGAAAACTTGGGTTTCCAGAAAGTATATAAACTTAAAGCTTTATTGTGTATTTAGAGCATGAGGTTGCACTGTTCCCAAATGTTGAAAAAAATATTTAGCAAATTTAGGTTTATGACTAAGCTGCTCATGAAAAAAAAAACTAAGGAGATCTAATTTATTGTCGACAAATCGGTGTACTGCTTTTCAGGGATGTTGTGGAACTGTTAGTGCGAAGTGATGCACGTCTCGATATCGGTGCAAATACACCCTTGATGGAAGCTGCTCAAGAAGGACATCTTGATACCGTTAGATTCATCCTTAATGAAATGCGTTCACTTGGATTACCAGTGAGCATTTTTTTTATTCAGACATCATTTATTTGGAAATTCTAAAGTTTAAGCTTGAAATGAAAATTATATAAATGCACTAAGTCGGTTCAAAAGTTCAATTAAGATCGATGCTACAACAACAGCAAATAGCAATACGGCGTTAACCTATGCTGCAGAAAACGGTCATTTGGATGTGTGTGCTGTGTTAATCGAATTTGGTGCTGACATTGTAAGTTGACTTTAGACTCTTTTTCGACAACACTTTCAATTATTAACTTTTAGCAATTTTCTTCCAATAATAAATATTTTTAGCAGCTTTTTTCGCATTTCCTATAAACTAACTCATCCGAACAGAAATTTGAAGTGTATAACATTTTTTTTTCGAATAACGACTTTTCAATCTTTTGCCTCATCGCATTTCATCTTTATACTAGCAGTTTGGGCTTTCAGGTTGTCTCAAATATTCTATGATTTTTCAAACAATAAGTGAGCATAAAATACTTATTTGCGATTGCATTGTTATTTATTTTATTTTAAAACATCCAAGATTGTATCATTTTTGTTTAGGATCATCAAGCAGAAAATGGTCGTACGGCCTTAATGAAAGCAGCAAAAAATGGAAATTACAGTGTGATCCAATTTCTCCTAATGAGAGGAGCTAAGGTTATATGCTCACCACAAATCTAGTTGATACTAAATTTTTGTAAGGATGGATAAATTGGAGAAAGATTGAGTTATGGAGATTTATTACCGTGCGGCTTTTTTAATTTTAAATTTTCGAACAGTTAGGACTATAGAATTATTTTATTCATGCAAAACGAAGCAGAATTTTAAATAAGGATGTATATCACTACAGGTAAATGAGATTTCTACAGACAATGATGCCAGTGCGTTATTCTTAGCATGTGCTCATGGCCATTGGGAAATTGTTCGATTATTGCTGGATCATGGAGCTGATCCATCTCATGTGTTTAAAGTAGGTCAAAGATGTAAATTTTGAGAGGAATGAAATTTGATAAAATGTTCGATTTATGGAGTCATCATAAATTTTTGAATGATTGATTAGTCGTTTATTTTAAAGGATGGCATGACTTGCATGATCGAAGCATCGCGAAATGGGCATACACGCGTAGCAGAAACACTTTTGAATTGGCATGATGCACCTATTGTGACGCGCACACCTCTTCTGGGAAAAGCACCATCATTACAGAATAGTCGTTTGAAAAAGGTATTTATTTGAAGCCAGCAAATATAAGAGCTGCAAAAAGTAGGTCATGCTAATTTATTTTCTCGTTCGTTTAATATATCATTTTTTTTTAACGGTTTGTTGAGTTTATATCTTTTCAATTTCAGCTTTTTTGGTCGTATGTTTTTGTTGCGGTATTAATATTTTATGCACATTCTGATATTACAATAATCTGTGTCGATCTTTGAGGTTGCGCGACGAACAGTGAATAAGAAGGCGACCGCTGTTACGCAGCCAAAAGTTGAATGTGCTGAGAAATCAATGAATAACGTGCCGATCGACGTAGGTGAAAAGATGGGTTGCTCAGATGGAACTACGATATCAGCATCAACGACTGCAGTCACAACGGCAGGAATGCATTCGCAGTGTACGCATGATTCTCAACCCGTATCCGGAATGCATAATGTATCAACAAATGCAAATGTGCCAGCTCATTTGCTTGCACATTATAATTATCAAAATGCGATAAATCCAGATGAACTACGGGGTATGATTGCGGGGATGGCTGCCATGGCTGCGCAGTCTAATGCGGTTTGTTTATGTATTGTTTTATAAATCAAAAACTGAATTAATATGTAATTCCATCACTATCATGTGTGCTGCACGAACAGTTCTGATAAGGGGAAACTGTTTTTTAATTATTCATTGTTTCTTGGATTTACAATAATTTGAACATTACTCTGATGTTTAAATTCGAATTTTTTTAAACATATATCGTATCTCTTTCCATTAGCTTAAGACAGTGTCTGCTGATTATTGTAATATATTTAATATATATATATATATATTGTAATATATTTAGTTGTTTTTTTTTTCAGCTCCCTAACGATCATTTGTTCGCACAGATAGCAGAAAAAGCATTACGTGGTACATTTGCAAACAGTGAAATTACTAGTGGCTTAGCAGATAAGAAGATGCATCAACAGTTCAGCGAATTATTAAAGCAGCAATTCAGCATACTGGCAAATCGACAGAAAGATGCATTGGCTGGTTTAGGAGGTGCAAACTCTCTACCAGATTCTGAAAATGGTGTATTTCATTGTTTAAATCCAGACTATTAAGTTCGAAAATAATTTCGTTTCATTGAAACTCCACTTATATCCTGGCCAACAGATAGATGAAAAGAATTGATTGTCTGCTTAGCATATAAAGTTGTATTAAGTGGAATATCTATTGCTCTGAATCAGTTCGGATACTGGACTATTTTAAATAAGCTGATAATGGAAGGGACAAGAAAGTAGGAATTAGAACTTATAACGTGAATTAAATTAAACAATAAATTAAACAATAAATTGAATAAATTAAACATTCCCCAATGGGAAGTTATTTGTTACAGTATGACTCCATCATGCCTTGAAGAAAGAAAATATAATTGTCAGGATTTTGATATTTTAGATTTTTAAGCTATTATCCGGCATGCATACATACTTTTTGCAGTACAGGCTGGAGTTTCCGGTATTATAATTTACATTAATGATTCATTTAAATTTGTTTTTGTTTAATTCGAATTTTAATCCTGTAGGTGGTAGTACATCATATAGTCCCTCGGTCACTTCATCTCCATCACCTCCAATGATTGCTTGTTGTGAGACAACTGCAGCACACGCAGCTGTGGCGCATTCTCCCAGTTCAGCTGCAGATACGAGGCGAAAGGGCAGCACGTCAAACGTAAGTTTTTTGATATGTAAATTTTTTTTTCTTTTGGTAAGAGAAGATACCGACCTTATTCTGACTATATCGAGTATTGGGTTGGTGCAAAATTATTGCTCTTCCGGACTGCAAATTTAAAATTACAAGTATAGGTCTAGACATATTCTTATTAATAAAAAAGCCGCAACGACCCATTCTTGTCAATAGGAAACACGCTTGTTTATTTCGTAGCTTAGAAACTTATACTTCGATATTCGATGAATTTTTGGAAAGCATAGAATTCTCCCCGGAAAAAGCTGTCGAGATGCTTGAAGAAATAGTGTTCCGATGGCGAAAGGTTAGATGAGTATGACGGATAAGGCGAAACTTCGTAAACCAGTTCTTCTTCTGAAGCATTGGTTAATTGGTGTCTGGTCTAGCATTCTCGTGATGAAGAATTGAACCTTTCTGTTGATCTGTGCCGGCTAAACCGTTGCAGTTTCCGGTGCCTCATCGATTTGCTGAGCATATTTCGCAGATGTAATGGTTTTGCCGGGATTCAGAAAACCGCTGCGACAGTAAGACCACGAAACAGTTACCATGACCTTTTTGGCGCTAGTTTTGCTTTGGGAAACAGTTTGGAGCTTCTTATTCGTCCAACTATTGAGGTGTTCTCGTCGGTTATCATGTATAATCTATTTTCGTTGCACGCCACAATCCGACCGAGAAATGGTTCGTTGTTTCGTAAAATAAGAGAATACGACATTTTAAAATGACGCTTTTCTCGATTATCAGTGTTATGGCACCTATCCATTGAATTTCATTTTTCCAATTTGGTTGAAATGTTGAGCGACCGTAGAGCGGCTGACGATGGGTGTTTGAAAAACGTGTAAATGTAAGGAAATCAGTTTCGACCATTATTTTCAATCGAGCACGGTCAATTTCCGATAACCAATCGCCATGTGCTTTATTTTCAAAGCTGCTGTCTTCTTTGCAAAACTTGAATCATGACTTTGTTACCAGTTCCTGAACTAAATGCTTTGCTGACATTACGAATTGCGTAGCTTCCTTACCGCTCACTTTGTTCTTAAATAAAAGTTCACTCATGTTTATTTCTTTCTGACATCGCCTTTTTAATCATAATTAATAACTAGCGGGTTATAAATCATTGGTAAGGAACATAAGTGAGAAATGGTCATTAAAATGACATGTGGTAAATGTATTTCGATATGAAACAGCAAGTCCAACTACATTAAAAACTCAATTTTGCACCAACCTAATAATCGAATATACATCATACATAACTCATTTTTCGCTGTTTGCAGGAAAGACAAAAAACCAATGGAGGACGTGGAACACAACAGAAAAAAGGTGGCAAAAACATTATTTTGTCAGACGGTGAACAAAGAGGTTTATTTCCACCAGCATCTTCTCTCAGATTCCCGGCACCACCACCACCAGTTATGAATGCAAATCTTCCACGTGGTTTGTTCTGTTTTATGTCACTTATAGACTCTGAATGGCGAGCAAGAGAATGAAAACTAGAAGACTTTGCATATAGACTTTGCAGGGCATTTTATAATTCAAATTTTGGCAATGCTTTGACAATAAATGAACTGAAAAAAGGTTTAGTAGATCTGGACAATTTTGGCGCTGAGAGGAGGGGAGGTGAATGGGCATATTTAACAAAGATCATCGCAATTTTGCCGGTGGACTGTCCCTTTGAAATTGCTTATCTAGTGGTGTTGCATGCATACGCGAAATAATGTTGTTTTCTTTATGACTTATCTTCTGGGTATTAGAATTCCGACGGCATTGGTTTGATTCATCCATAAGAGAGTTTTTTGTGACATCTGAATACTTAACAATTATTGGTAGTGAAGAATAATTCAGTGCATTTGTATGGTATGAAAATAATTCAGTGCATTTGTATGATGTGAGAATACTTCTAATCCTAATAACATTTAGAAAGTAACATGCTGAGAATTAGTATCCTGCCGCCAAAAAATTCCTATACTGGCTGATTTTTAATGATCAGTCTTTTGCAGTGAATTATTGTAAGCATAAATCTTTTTTTATATAATCGCTTACAGAAAGTGTGCCGTTGTCACCACTGAAAGTTCAGCAGTCACTGAGACAGCAGTCACCACCGTTGCCTAAACAACAACTCATATCAGAACCAACAATTGGGCGACAACGCTCGAAGCCCGTTCCTGAAGCAGCTGGTGAATCAGCTGACAGGAATGCATCACGGAAGTATAACTTTATATTTTTTAAAATCTTATCGTTAAATTTGTGTCAGTAAGAACTTTAATTCAATAAGGGATTTGTTTTTAGTCGAGGTAGAACACTGAGTGAAAGCGCAATGCACGTTGGTGATGGACAACATACAACTGAAAGGACGTATGATACAGAGAGTGATGAAGAAATTAGTAGCAGAAGTGATTCGAAAAATGGAGATAAGTTTTTTTTTTCAACTGAATTTGACTAGAATAAATTCATGGTTAACTCTACAAGTTGTCCCTTTATGGTTCAGTTTCGATCGAAATTGTCAGAGAAGTTATCGTTGTCATCTCTCCTGTGAGAGAAAATAATTATGAGTTCAAAAGATAGTACATAGTACAATTTTAGTTTAGTAACGAAGTCCATATTTCCAAGTTTATTCTCAAATGAATTGGAGAGGAAATGATTGAATATCGCATTATATCTGACTGTTGCATTATTTCAGGTTCTCAGCCGTTTAATGTAGATATGCAAACTGAATCAAATCATGATACTGCTCTTACTCTAGCCGCCACGGGTGGGCATGACTCTCTTGTTGAACTCCTTATTACTCGAGGTGCTAACATTGAGCATAAGGATAAAAAGGTTGGTTCAATTTCCTCATATTAACATCTTAGATTAAATCACTTTTTGACTGCGATTGTTTGAAATAGCTGCTTCATTTGTGAACATATCTTAACGGTGCAATCTAACTGCAGTATACCGGCTCTAGAAGGTTAAAGTACGAGCAATCTCGTTAAGATCTGTCAGTATTGCTCGAAGTAATTTTCTGAAGTATTGTAGACATTTATTTAAATTTAATTCCAAGTATTCAAGTGTTTTTTTTTTTTGCCGAAGTTAAATTAGCAACATATTTTATAAAATATATGGCTTATTTTCAGGGTTTTACGCCAATCATATTAGCTGCAACAGGTGGTCATGTAAACGTTGTTGAACTATTACTAAATCATGGTGCCAACATTGAAGCGCAATCTGATCGCACGAAGGATACGGCCTTATCTCTCGCCTGTTCTGGTGGACGGAAAGAGGTGCCTTCTTCACACAATCTTAGTTGCAGTGCAACTTTGATTTTGTATCAAAATATGAAATTTTTGATCGAAGTTAATCGATACTCGAGTGTTTTTTATTTAGACAACTGATAGTTCTGTTGCTTCCAGGTTGTTGAATTACTGTTAAAACGTGGTGCTAACAAAGAACATCGTAATGTGAGCGATTACACAGCGCTTTCATTAGCTGCCTCTGGAGGTTATGTTGATATCGTGAATTTGCTTCTAAATAATGGTGCAGAAATTAACTCCCGTACTGGCTCAAAGGTTTGCGATAACATATTTTTCTTCAATAAATTGCAAAAATTTTTGGATTTCGTTTTACTCGATCGGTCAAGACCAGAATTTCCTAACGTGGAGTATTTCCGTTGTCAAATTTTAACTGAGACCTGAAAGTATCATCTGGTTTTGCTTGTAAACATTAAATTGCATTCTTATTATCATTGTTTGGAAATACTTTTGACATTGCTAAGGCAAAGTTGTTTCGAAATGTATAGAATTATTGTTTGGAGAGAGATTTTGGCTTATTCATAGAGTCGAATGAGCCGGTCAAAGTACATCTGATTGAATAAACTGTAATCGATATCGGTGATAGAGATGTAAAATAATAAGCTGTTTCAGTTAGGCATATCACCACTTATGTTAGCAGCAATGAATGGACACGCTGCAGCAACAAAAATATTACTTGAACGTGGTTCGGATATAAATTCGCATATTGAAACGAATCGTAACACTGCACTGACACTGGCATGCTTTCAAGGTCGTACCGATGTGGTGCGATTATTACTTGAATACAACGCTAATGTTGAGCATCGAGCTAAGGTTTGAACATTTTTGTTAGCTCACTTTTTTCCTAGGATATAATTGAGAAAAGATCTGCTGCACAACGTAGCATATACTTCTTTATCGCTTAATTTTTTAATCCAATTACGAAAATTTGTAGTAAGGATTGATTGTTAGGATTAGGTATTACAAATTTCACCCTAAAATTTTACCGGTTTACTGACTTGCCAATTTATTTTAGACTGGACTTACTCCGCTAATGGAAGCAGCAAATGGAGGTTATGTGGATGTTGGGGAATTATTATTAACTGCTGGGGCAGATCCAAATACATCACCAGTCCCTAGTAGTCGTGATACCGCACTGACCATTGCGGCTGATAAAGGGCATCACAAATTTGTTGAAATGTTGATCCACGCTCGAGCCTCGGTGCGTTGTTTTTTTGAATTGAATTCTGGATTTTGTATAATATTTTATGGAGGATATTTTGTGACTTTACATATGTGGGATAAAAAAATTTGGCTTTAAATGCTATCTAGGTTCAAATTCAAGTTTGATTATTCTTTTCAAAGTTTTTCTTTTGTAGCAGTGATTTTTGTAGATTGATGCCAGAAATAAGAAAGGCTGTACGGCTTTATGGTTGGCGTGCCATGGGGGTCATCTGGAAACTGTCCAAACACTAGTGAAGCATGAAGCAAGTGTTGATATACAAGATAATCGCCAGGTTTCACCACTAATCATTGCCTTCCGAAGAGGACATATAAAAGTAATTTTCAATTTACAGTTGGCGATATTGAACTGGAAAGAGCGATGATTATAGTTTTGGAAGAGAGTAAGATCCATTAAATGAAGAGGCAATTCAGCTTTTGTGTAATTAACAGACTTTTCATCTACCATATTAAATGCTTTTGCTATTCAGGTAGTAAAATATATGGTACGACATGTGACACAATTCCCAAATGATGCAGATTGCTATCGTTTTATCGCCACGATTAATGAGAAGGTCTATTTTTTCATGTTGGTCATAATCTTATTCTTCACTATCAGAAGCAAATATTAATATTTGAATGAGTAGTGGGCGGAGTGCATAGATTCTACTAATAATGATGTATTTGCTTGTTAGAGGGGACCATAAAGTGATTTCCAGTGCCTGCCACCAAACATTTGTTTCGCATCCTTTTTATTAGGCTCTCAATAATTGGACTGACATTCGCTACTCAAGACATAAGCTTCTGGAACATGTGCCAGATTGACTCCGGCTTTCACATTGCAAATTGCGATAATGCTTCATGCAATTTTCTATTTGGGACATGACAGTTACTTTTTATAGGAGATATAGGAGGTCAAACTTTCACCCATTATCTTTTCTTCCCCTGAAGTTTTGGTAAGATCAAGATAGTTGCACTGGTCCTTTCCGACGTTTGTAATGGTAGGTATTTTCAGGAATTACTTACACGATGCCATCTCTGTATGGATATCATTGTTGCAGCGAAAGATCGGCAAGCTGCGGAAGCTAATCGTGCCGCAGAGTCTCTTCTAGAAATCTTGGCGAGAGAGGTTACTGCAATTTGCCATTAGTTGAAAAAAATCTACATGGATGAGAGATTTAATGATACCGGAAACAATTTCAATCGGTGATTCCATCGTTAAGTTTTGCACTTTTCAGGAAGAGCAAGCTAAATCTAAGAAACTTTCAAAACAGCGACAAAACGAAAAGAAAAAGGCTAAGCGAAAAGCTAAAAAAAATCAGTAAGTCTTTTTTCATGTTCACGGACATGAATTATTAATTATTGTGCTGCACGTTTGGTATGTTGCTTTCTTATTGTCATTTTTTTAGAGCTGACGGAAATATTGAACGGAAAGATTTGGATCGTAAAGAAGATGCATCTACCAATAATGGTGAGGTATGATGTTCAGATAAATGTTTTCCAATTTCATGTCAGTTGAGTTGGTAAAAAGTGAGTCTTGTTCTGTTACGCTGCAAATGATTTTGCGGTAATTAAAATTCAACATACATCTTAAAATCATTTTTAGGAATCAGCCGATGAAGAAAATGGTTCTGAAAAAGCAAGCAGTGCCGTAGCAGTAGACGAAAGTAATACTCGGAACCGTGATTCGGAGCACGAGGTACTCATTTTTTAATAAAAAATATTCAGACAATTAAGATCATATTGTATTACGTTTAAATATATGATTTCCTAATTGCATGCCAGACGTTGTTGTATAGGTATAAATTCTCTGAAAGATGCTCGCGCTATTGCTTATCAAATAGTTGATTTCATTCCATAGATATCTCTGTCTGGCCAATACATGGCGATATCTGTGTCGGTCAGTGCGTCTTTTCAAAATATGTTCTACGATTCTTGGATATTTGTCAGCTGTTGCGACTCTATATAATAAACTGCGCTAATCGAATTTCTTTTATTTGTATATATGGTTGCAGTTTTTTCAAACTGATCCACCACGTGTGCCTGCGTTGTTATCAGACGAACACAGTGCCGACGAAACTGTTTCGTTCCCAGAAAGTTCACTCACAAAGCGGACGGTAGTATCGAGTGTTTCTGTTGCTGGAAAGTCATCACGACATAGAGTCCGTAAAGAAAATGGTATGCACTTTTGCCACCGTAGTTTTTTTTTTAATTAGAGCCGCCCATAACTTGCAAATTTATAAGGAATTATTGCAGGCAAACCTGCTGTTCCTGTAAAATCGCCTCCACATAAAACGGGTAGTGGAAATACGTCGGATACCGAATGGATGAAAGCAACATCAAGAAGGAATGCGGTAAGACTATTAATACCTGTTTAGGCTGTATGTGGTACTGTGTATATTGGGCATTGAGTTACTTTTCCGAGTGCAAATTATTTTTGATGACATGGTTTTATATGCATGTTAATGCTGACTTTCAACTTGACATGATTAAAATAGCAGACCAAAGTACATGTTATGAACATTAGCGTGGTTTGCTGTAAAACATTACAGGTTTTTAATTACTATATTCAACTATACATTCTAATTCTTCTTATTTATCAATGGTATTCACCTCGCACCTTTGTAGTGTTTGGCCGACTACTTCAGTTATAAAAATATAGCTGTAACAGATAAAATTCAACATTTTCTTCGTCTCCAGAATTTGCATGTTTTTCAAGTTGTACACCCAAATGCATTCTATAGGTCGATTTCGCCTAACTACATCTTTCCGAAATTCATTTCTTACTCTAACTCTTTCGGTGTTTCTTTACATACCATTTCGTAACTTGTTTGAAAAAAATTGCGCGGAATTGTTTAACTATGACGGACGTGTATGCTGAATTTTGGTCAGGATGTTTAAAACTTCGATACTTATCTGGTCAGCAAGAATGGCTTGTCTTTTACCACCAAATTTGTTGAGTTTTCCATATGTTCGGATATTTTTTTACACTACATGTTTTGTTGTGCGACATTTTCTTGCTAGCTTTATCATTTTAAATGAATTGCTCACGTTACCGTCTGTATTAGGTTTTGCGGCCGTATCCACTAGACGAGAAGCATGCCTGATTTGTTTTTATTTCAATTTTTCGTTGAGATTTTTCCATTGTATGTTGTGTCGTTTATATTGGGTTATATTCCTTTCCTCTCCATAATTCATAGTTATTGCATAGTCCATCAAACTAATTTTTTTTCGGTATTAACAGATCCGTCTAGCACTTTTTGACTTTATTTATATGAATTTGTTAAATTATATTTCGCATTTAATGTTTGATTTGCAGGGAAAAGCAGTGATGTCAGGGAAAAATGGTAGTTCTGGAAGTACCTCAAAGGATGAATGTGGAAGTAGTAACGCTGCGACATGGCGGCATGTCGACTCGGTTAGTATATTTAATAAATGTCGTATAGCAATTGAGATTTTTTTTGGAGAATTTGAGATCTTAAAACTCATGAGGTAAATTGTTTTAGAGCCGTCGACGTTCCGCTCGGTTGTCTGTGTCGTCAAATTCAATAGCACGTGTTATTGGTCGTGCAGGAGGTAATATTAATGCGATTCGTGAAGCTACCGGAGCATACATTGAAGTTGAGAAACAAACTGGAAAGAAGGAACAGCACGATCGGCAAATAACACTAAAGGGTACCGATGCTGCGTTAAGGTATCTTATCCTTATTGTTCGTTGGTATGATCATCACATTCTCGACGATTGTCAAAATCACATTTAAGCAAGTCAGATAAGTGTGATTATCTTCGTCCCGATTAAGTTGAATGAAATTAATTTCATAATATTGGTATTTATTTGTGAAGGATCTGTCGTTTGGCCACGTTTGTAAAGCATTTATTCCTTTGAGGTCTCCTCCTGCCCATACATGCTCAGTGTACATTAGATCTGGAACTGGAATGCGTGACATTTTAGTACATGCAGTTGCTTCAGCTACAGCGAAACAGGATAAACAGATATTAGCATTTGCTTGTCACTGATCTGTTATTCGAAGATTTAATTCAACTTCAAAATAGCACTCACGAATTAGGTGAGTAGTAAAGATGGCGAGTTGGGATTAGTTGAGGACCAGCTGATGTAATTGAGTTCAGCGTGCGGTTATTTGTCGGCAGTATTAGTAGAAGCACATATGTTTTCGTGCGATGAATTGTTCTTTCTTTCAGACAAGCCGTCGAAATGATACATGGTTTAATCGATGATAGTGAATGTAACGTAGAAGAAGTGATTCAGCGAGTGAGTAGTGCCCACAATACCTCCATTTCTCAGAGTGAGGAAAATGCCAACCGAAGTAATTTGGCGTTATCTAGCACTTCACCTGCAACGACAGCACCACTTTCCCAGAAAAAGTCTCATGCCATCGGTGCTATAGTATCACATACACCATCTGAGGTTGCTATTTTTCTATGCTTACATGAAATGTGATGCTTATTTTACGACAAAAGTTTCATTTTCTCCAATCTTTTTTATAAAGTTTTTTTCTGTTTCCTCCAGATGTCGCATACTGCAGCAGCAGGCAAGAAAACTGCCCCGTATATTGTTACTACGAATGTGTGGGCACAGCGGGCTGCACAACGTCAAAATCAGAAAAGTAAGTAGCTCTGTTTCTTTTGAAAATTCTAACTTGATCTCATCATGATTGTTCTAAATACCACGTATTTTAGTAGTGAGTGCAATTGGTTCAGAAAAGAAGCAGAAAATGTCATCTGGTGCTATAGAACAGGAAAATCCGAGTCCTGATCAGATACTACAACTCAAAACACCTGGAACAGTGCATCCTCCTCAGGAGATACTAGCTGCAAATACCGCTGTTCTTAAAATTGGGGTAAAAGTTACTCGCAAAATCATTTTCGTAAAGTTTTGCGTTTCAATTAACTTTTTCCGGATATTTAGGATGAAGCGCAAAAACGTGGGATAAAAGAATTTTGTCGAGCACCCGGCCATGCAAGACCAACTTCTGCATCTGCTTCAAGTCCGTCGGTATCACCGATTGGTTCGTTCTAGTGCTAACTCTTATTATCTTCGGGGCAAGTTCCTTAGTTATGAGGACGTGATAACTATTGTGAAAGAGCAATGGGATTTTGGGATTGAACGAAATCATAAATGTGAAATTCCGATGTGGATGGAAAAGTATTTATTTAGTGGATAAAAGTTCAGATAAAGGGCAAGATATCGTAATTCAAAGTGGATCTTTGCGTTTAAATTTTTTCTTAAAGGCTTGAAATCTCCGATTCATGTCGGACCTCGTAGCACTGTGGTCTCTTCTTCGATTGGTGTGACCATACCAACTGATATAAAACCTAGAACGGAATTATTTAAAGCGTTAGTTCTTTTTTTTCTTGCGATATAAGATTAGTGAATCCATTTGTGTAGAGAAAAAGTGTCTGGATGAGGCTTTTTTTTCTATGCTTTTTTAGATTTTCTGTGACCGATTACTCAAGATTTGAATTCATTTAAAAATTGTTTACTAGATGTCTTTTTAATACGCATGAAATCAGACGCTTGTATATTTTTCAGTGGACCGAAAATTGAATTTCCTCAAAATATTCCAACCACTGGTCCACTAACTTCTGCACCAGGTAATCTCTTACTGTTGTTTGTTCTATCACCTGTGGAGCTTTATATTTGATCCAGGAAAATGGAATCTTTTCTTCATTTTATTTATAATTCAAACAAAATTAAAAACACATTGCGTCAGCTTATTGTTAAATTTATTCAGAAATTGTCTTTAGAAGAGCGAAGATTCAGTACGACTTACGTGATGTGTAATTTTCAATTAGTATAATTTTTGCCAAAATTCTAAATAAATTCAGACATAGACGAAAGGAAATTGCAACCACTTCTTGGTACAGCTAAATCGAATTTGGATGCACTGAAGCCCAGCTCCATCGACCAGAAACTGTTTTCGGTAGGAAAGTTTGAAAATCGAACAAATTGCGTTTCATTCAAGTATTATTGGAAGATCATCAGTGAATCATTTCTGGTAAATAATACTTTTTCCTATTTATGTGTGGAAAATTTTCAGCCATTGGATTCTACTCGCCCAAACATTATGTCTTCGTCGATTGGTAACATTTGGGATGACAACATTGTTGACGATAAACCTTGGGCTGTTCCTACACCTTTAGCACCAGTGCAGTTGGAAGACTTCGCGCGAAACATCAATGTGCAGCTGCCGACTTCAGCAAAGCTTGCGAGAGATTACCCGAATCCCGATACTGCAGCAGATCATGTGATTGATTTGGCTAAAAATATCGCTAATTTGCGGACACCCGTATGTTTTGAAAAGGAAAAATAGCTTGAAACAGTTCGACTTGTTCCATCGATCTATTGTGCAAAATCTTTTATTAGATCTTAGCTTCGATAAAATAGCTTAAAATATCAAAAGACCTTCCTTAATGATAGTAAATATTAGCAGGAAGATAGGCCAGTCAGCGTGACAGGTAACGAGGCTGTGGCACGACGCACTTTCTTGGGTGAGAACATACCGTCCTTCGATTTGAACGTTCCTTTTTCAAATCGTGATCCCGTTGATTGGAGTAATGCAGGACCTTTTCCAACGGATACATTTGCGCGTTGGAGAAATACTCAGTTAGAATCGGCTCCAATCACAGGATCTACTCAAGAAATCGACAGTTCTTCCTGGATAGATCAAGCAAGTCTTTTCGCATTTAGGAGAAAGCTAGACCACTTTCTTTAATAGTCACCTTTTTAAGGATAAATTAATTCATTTTTCGGTGTTTGTTGCAGTAATTAATATATCTCAGCAAAATGATTTGTTCTTTCATCGTTATTTGGTAAGTTTAAGGTAGCAGCCCGCCTGGCATCTACCCGTCAGGAGCATCTACCATTTCCACCAACTACTTACCCGGGAAATTCAGCACATGTTACGGGTCCTTTCGGAACTGATATAGCAAATGTCAATCTCAGTCAGCGACAGCAGTCAACGCAGGCATGGAATCGTATGCACTTTCAACAGGTCGTTTTAGCAATATTCTGACTGTTTTAAATAGTTGCGGATTAAGTTATAATAAACGATCTAGAACCATCAGCATTAGCACGTGAAACTACCTTGCTAATTGCCATTTTGTTCCTAATTTTGGAAATATATTCCAGCAGGATACAATTCCCAGAATTGTTGGGGGTCAAACGCAACTTCTTTTATGCCACCCTTGTTGGCCTTTACCAACTTGGTTGTGGATATCTCCACTGTACTACCATTTCCATGTTTTAAAGATGGAGACCTCGGATGTGTAGCTTTGAAACGCAAATTTACTTCCTTTGTGTTTTTAATTTTTAAGTGTTTCTTCCTTAATTCTTTGTTGTTGTCGATTCTTTTCACAGAGGTTCATGCTGTTGCAATGACACATGCACTCATCACTTCATCTAATCGAAATAAGCACACTTGATTCGAGTCCATTAACGAATTTGAAGTTTTGCAACATTTGTTTCACCTAGTCTCATTTGCTAATTTTTAGGCTGCACAAGCCGCCAGTAATGAATATGAAAATTTGACGAATCTTCTGAGTTCATATCGGCCAACAGCAAGTTCGCAGCATCAACCAGTATCTTCGCAGCAGCAGCATCAACTACCCCAGCCAATTGTACCAATGGGAAATATTAATTACAATGCTGCACCTGCAGCTGTTGGACCGGCTGGTTTTCGGGTACCTGCACCACGTTCTCAGATTGCAAATACATCTGTTCCACCGCCACCTTTCTTTAATTCTCAAATTCCACCACCATCTTCTATGTCCCACCGCGGCGTGATTCCGGTTACTCAGTCTACAGCGTTAGTTTATTTTCTTTGAGTAGTGATTTGCAGTTGTTGTTAGTGATTCTTAAGCAAGATGAAAATACTCCTTGGCAATGAATCGTAAGATCCCGAAAATTGTAGAGTTCATGAGGAAATCCTTTGGTCAATAGCTGTCAATAGCTCGTGGCTCAATTATCTGTTTTTCGCTGACCAAAATTGCGACTTTCCTTTTTGTATGGCTTGAATTTCCTAATGCAGTAACGGCTTGTACGTTACTTATCCTTTATATGAAAGTGATCAAGTGTAATTTTGGTATATAGATTCATTTTCATGTCAAACTCAAGTAAGTATGATAGTTTTAAACTTAGTCTAATACAGACAAGAATACTTACATTACTTTAGAGATAGTTTCACATATATATATTGCAGGAGTGCGGCATGGCCATCAATTCACTTTGCTGGGCAGGCACAGACGAATACCGTTACTGAAAATACGCAATTTCCACCATACCTAAGTACCACACGTGGAAATTGGAGCTACAATTGGTAAAAGCAGTGATTAATTTTAAACATTGCATTGTTGTTGTATTGGAAGCTTCATCATTCAGTGCTTCTAAAGAAAATTTTATGATTTTTAGCATAACATCGTTTTCTTTCTTCAATTAAACATTCAGTTTTAGGTATTCGTATATGCACGTAGCACTCATTGTTTATTCGTTATTGAATTTAACTTCTAGTTAATCACACTTTCAATAATTTTTTAATTCTGAATTTTCCTTGATTTTTGAAATTTATGGAAGAAAAGGCATTGCTACTTTTCTTATTTTTGGGTGTGAAATAATCCATCTAATGAAATGTTCCTTATCTTTTGTTAGTTCATATTAACTATTTTGTTCGTTAATGCTGCGCTTTATTTGATATCGCTTTTTGCTTCGATCCATCCGATCTTCCGTTATGTTTTATTAACATTTCTGGAAATTTCCGGTATTTTTATTGACTAGAAAACATTAAAATTTTGCTGCGTGTTCTTATCACTATGTATAATTGTACCTTTTTTTACTAAGCCTTCTTTCATTTACTACTGCTGTTTTCTTTCCTATCTATGTCTGAATTATTCTACATTAAGCGGTTATATGATCAACACTGTTTTTATAGTGGATTACGAAAAGTATTTGAAATCTTCATTTTTCCGGTTTTCGGATTGTTTTATCAACTTTCGAGTTTTTCTTTTTAGTATCCTCTGATATAGTGTTGTCAATATATTTTGAAATTGTTTCAGGCATTTTTTTCATTATATTCTGTCACATTTTCCAGAAATTTGAACTTTCATTTTGGCATGCTGTTTCATTCAAATTTTTCTTGTTTCTCAATTTTTCTGTGCTGCTCACCAAATCTCATCAACACACAGAGTAAAAGTTTAGGCGACTTCGCTCTGTCTCTTTTTCTGACTTGCTGGTGAATTTCTGTCGAAGAAAAGAGGAACTCGTCAAGGTTGCTAGGACTTGTGGTACGGGGCAATAATTTTATTACGCATAATGAACTGGAGAATTTGCAGCAAACAAGATAATTTTTTGTGATTATAGCCCGTTTTCATCTATTCGGACTGTTGAATTTTTAGAATGCAAAAAGTGCTTTGCAAGATCTACCCCACACTTTTTACATGCGTGTGTTATGTGTGTTTCGTTCTCTTCCTCAATTTGATCTTGTCAATCCTTAAATATATAAAATTTCAGTTGTGGCCTGGTTTCCTCATTCATCTGTTTCAAACCAACCACTATAGAGAAGTGGAAAAATCATTGAGGGTTTGGTTGTAGTTATGATGACCAGTTTACTTGTTCAGTTCGGTTTAATTAGTTAATTTGCTTTTAACTGTTAAATCATCGATAGTGTATGGTTGTTGCTGGAATACAATGCTTGGAATCGAAAGCATGTGAAATTCAGAATGTGGAAGGGATGGGGCATGCCAATTAGCACTGTTCGGAGTTTTCGCTGGTCAGTTAAAATTCTAAATTCCGATTCTCAAGCAGGAGTTGGACCGTTGAGATGTCTGGGAGCCATTTATTCAAAAATATTCATTCCAATAATGTATTCATTTTCATTCAGTTCACTGAAAGTTGCAGAGTGGAATATCCATTCGTTTGCTACTTTTTTTGCCAAAGGCAAAACTATAAAACTGGGCTGGGTCGGTCTCTTACTGTGTGCTGGATTCAGATGGATAGATTGGTGAGTAATGCGGCGTGCCATGATATACGTCGTGGGTGACGAATGTTGATACAGTTAAAACCAGTTTTCAACACGAATGAGATCTGGAAGTAGATATCTGATAAGTTCAGTCGTTTTTGAGGCAAAAGGATTTATATTTCAGACTATGTGGACTAGCGTGAAAAGGTTTTAGTAGAATACTGGATACATTTAATAACTGTAAAAAATTAAACTCATTAAAAACAAGTAGTGAGGTCATTTAGTAGAGCCATGTAAAAGTAAAAGTATAAACGAAGAATCAGCCAGTGTGATGTATGCACGTGCCTGCCAAAGTTTGACACGAATTTACCATTTTGTGATCCTTGTTTCTGCTCCAAAGTGAAACAGTTAGCCTCATAAAGTCAATTAAATGTGTCTCAGAATCTTATTGCGGATCGAATGCACACTGGTGGAGCATTTTACGCCGTTCTTTAAGTGCCTAAAATGACAAATCTTGCAAGCTGGTAATTCCTTGTGAAACTAATAATTAATTGGTAAAACTGATTATTCGATGAGATAGGATACTATGATATTAAAGAGAAATGGATGATGATGATCTCAATCAATCATACTGATCTAAAAATGTTGCTCAAATTTTTCCTTGTAAGTAACATATTCAACAACATAGTTGAGTGATTTTGCAAAAACAATAATATGATATCTGAAATATGGGTTACATTTTAGACGTCCCTCTAAAATTGTTTGCAAGCCAAATAAATACTTCATTTCTGGTCGTGCATTAGGAATATGACCAAATAATTAATTGGATTCCAACTTACTTTCTTGCACTACTCTCTAAATTTTATTTATTTATTTATTTTCAGAGTATTTTCGTGAAAGAATTTGCAGTAAATGTGAAAGAATTTGCAGTAAAATTTAATCTTATTATCATAATTTTCTTGTCTTACTTCCTCTCTTCTTTATCTTTATTTCTCTCTTCCTTCGGAAAAAAAAAGGAATATGAAGGTGAAATTTAATTGAATCCTTATGAATTCCTAATATAGAGTATTTTTGGATGCCTAAGAAATGAATTTCTTATATTTAAAACTGCATAACAGTTTTTTATTTTTACTCTATCACTAATAACCTTTTATATTATTAAAAATCATTAATAATCGACATTAAAAATAGGAAATGATTTTTTAAAGTTTTTTTTATGAGATGGGATTGAATTAGTAATTATTGTTGATATATCAATGATAATGGTATCATCTTTTTTTTTCTTCCAAAAATGATAATCAATCATTATCGTTTGACTTTTAGATAATCATTCTTTATGTTTTGTTTCTGTTTGTTTGTTGGCAATCGATTGATTATGTATTGATCAATCAATAATTTTTTTTGCAATAGCAGCAAATGTTATTGAACTATCATTGATGATTAGTGAAAGTTCTGATTATCCGCTAGCATACATTTCTTTTTAAAATATTTTTTATTAAAATTTTTTTTACAACGATAAAATGCTTGGCAAATCAATAAACGACTCTCATTACGAAATCAACTCTCATTACGATATTCAAATGTTAGAAAAGTAATATAGAATTACAGATCTGATATTGAAATCAAATTTGTTAAAATTGGAAATCATCGGAAAGTTAAATGAAACATAAGGATATATCCTTCTGCTCAAAATAATAATTGGCTGGGAAAAGCATCAAGTTGTAATAGAAAAATAAGATTAGAAAATTATAATTCATTGTTGTAAACAAAAATTCATTAATAACCTTTGAAAGGTAGTGATATATAAAATTTTTTCAGTAATATAATTAAAATTTTCTTGGCAAAAATGAAGAAATAATGAAATTAAATCGATTTCTTGAATGACTTGAAAATCTTTCAAATTTCATCAATTTCGATTTCTACAAGGATAATGCCTAAATCGTTGTTACTTTACTCCATACAATCATCGTTCGTCATTTTACGATTGCGTTAATGCTCGCTTGAGTGAAGTAACTGCTTTATAAATTTAAATATGATTTAAAAAATTTATCTGTGATAGTCTAAACACTTAACAAATTTCAAATGTGATAATTTGACCATTTTAGCTTTACTTACACTTTTATTAACTGATAAATTATTGTGATTATATTTGATAAATATTAGTGAAATGGGGGAAAATATTCAATGGAAAGTATTTATATCGAATATATTTATTTATTCATTAAGAAAAATTTTATAGCATATAATCAGTAATTTTTTAGGAAAACAAAAATTATATTAAATGAAATATAAAAATGTTTCTAAATAAAATTATATATTTTAGGAAAATGCTAATCAATAATGTCATAATAAATAAAAGAAATAAATGATTTAAAAATTGTAATTAATTTATCGCTCACCTTTTTCTTTGATTAAATAAAGCATTTTTTTTCCTGCATACTTTTGTTCAATTTTTGAATTAATATCAGATTTTGCTTAACGATTCGTTTAATGTATGAGTGAAGTTTGAGATAAGATGGAATAGAGAAGTTGATAGTAGTAATGATATGTATCTTTCTTATCAGTATTTTTTTCGTATCAATTGGTAGTATGGTTAATGATTGCTACGTCGTGGGTGACGAATGTTGGTTGGTACAGTTAAAACCAGTTTTCAACATGAATGAGATCTGCAAGTAGATATCTGATAAGTTCAGTCGTTTTTGAGGCAAAAGGATTTATATTTCAAACTATGGTAAACTTGCGTGAAAAGGTTTCAGTAGAATACTGGAATTTGTATTTTGCAAAACATCAAACAATTGCGTAATAAGAAATATGCCACTTTGTCTTTGTCATTTTATTATTATCATTTAAAATGAATTTTGTCTTTGTCATTTTATTATTATCATTTAAAATGAATTTTGTCTTTGTCATTTTTTTATTATCATTTAAAATGAACTTTGTCATTTTATTATTTTCACGTGTCATATATTCAGCATTGATGAACAATTGCCATATCATTATTTTCATGGGAAATATATAATAAAACACCATATTAAGGATACTTGTAGATAAAAATAAACTGATTAATTCCTTCCTCATATTTGAACATTTGTTGAAATTAAATTTGAACATTTCATTTTAGTTTATTCACTAATAATGATTGAATTGTGAAAGCGTAGTAATATGTATGTTTTAATTTGCACAAAGTGTAAAAATATTAGGTAATTAAAATTAAATAATCAGTACAAATAAATAAATAAATCGAATAATTCGAACAATTGCTGCTGTAAGCTTCATTTCGAAGGATTACAAAACAATTATTAACATGAGAAAGTTACAAGAAGATATTGCTAATTATAATAAGCATCTCATTGGACATTGCTGGCTGTGAAGAATTTCTTAAAATCGAAAACAATGTTTTGCGATATATTCAACTTTTATAGATTTTATGTCAACGTCATAAAATGAATTGATTTTGACAGAATTAATATTACTGTAAAAGTTTTCATGTGTTCAAATTTGAAAACTAATTGAAAACATTAAATGAACAACCAATAAGATTCAAGTATGAACAAGAAAAACAAATGTGCAAAATGATGAATGATTGATTACCTCATATCAAACACGTTGTCATTTTGTTTTAAAGAAAAGTTTCAACAAGTTTTACAAAGTGAAATTTGGCATAAAGGTGACACCAGTCGTTTTATGGTAACATTTTTCAGATGATGCATTTAAAGTGAATATATATTTCAGGTACGATTGATTAATTTTTCGCAAACTAGAAAATCAACTTTGTAAAAAAAATTTATCCGCGGAAAATACTATAAAAACCTTCTCGATCAGCTATCTTATGATTTGTAAAGTTCTAACTCATAGTCATTTGTTTTGGATGTAGAGAAAGTAAGTTTGTGCAGAAAGGTAATGCTAATTAGGTGCAGGTCAATCGTATTGAGAGGAGAAGTTTAAATTACCTTTTCAAATCTTAAATTCGGTAAGTATAAATTACATAGGGGAAATTATTTTTCTTGCTTGATATGAGAAATTAAAAATCTTCCAGAAAAGTAGAGGAAGATTCTGAACTGGATTGCAGTATCATCAGTATGGCACGCGGTAATACCAGGTATGTTAAGATCAGCAATATATGGCTACCATCAATGAAAATAACATTTATTATATCCCTCCAAATAGATTGTTTCATATCGCAGAAATTATTGGATGTTATCATAGATAAATTTCTCTTGATTATTCATGTAAATTAGATGCTAGAACTAATGATTCAATTCTTTTATGAATTTATGCTTCTAATTTTTTGTAACGCTTTGAACTTGATCATTAAATTAATTTACTTCGATCAAGCAGTTTACAACAAGGATGAAAACAGATAAACAATTAGTTGATTTTAAAATTTAATATATCTGTTACTTTTCAATCTGTGAGATATCATTCGAAAAGCCTAAAAATCTGAATATTTCAATCGCTAAACATATTTTCAGGAAAGATGGTAATATTCAAAGATGGAACATCCGATGAGGACGAGCGTCAACCCATTTACAGTTATTCGCTAGGTGTTAGTTTTCATTATTATTTCATTACTCCTTCAAAATCAAAATGTAACAATACCATAAAATTCGGAGCATTCGTCCCATAACTGCCATAGGATAACTCGAAGTAATTCTAAAAGCCTATTCTACTTTCTTTTATTTTCTTACATATGTCATACTTTACCATTTGCCATTTCAACGTGTAGCCGTGTATTTCGAAATATCACAGCAATGATACATGATTTTTAAGAGATAATTCACAATAATTTATAATGTATGGAATTTTTGATTGAACTTCCAACTATATGTTTGAGTATGTCTCTTGTTATACGTGGACAAGGAGCGTCGTAATTCCCATACTCACATCACTGGTGACCATTGTCACTCTGATGACATTTGATGTTATCAAATCAAGAATCTAAGATTCCATAACTTTACTATTGATGAGGACAAGATATGATATTCGGACAAGAATTCAAACTAAAATACAAGTGGATCTACGGAAGAGAAGGTCAACAACTACAATACTATACTGCAATTATTTTTGATTGCAACAATGTTATGGAAAAAGAAATTATATAAACAATGAATGTATGGAATATGACGAAAATATAAATATTCCCAACTATATATGTTCACGTGCGTATATGATTACGCTGATACGTGAACTAAGAATATTAAAAAAGAAAGGGCAAAAATAAACACTGATTCAAAATGTGACAAAATGTGACAATCACATGGTGTCAATGAACAATTTTATTTTGAAATAATGATTCCCGCCAAATGAAGAAAATGTCGTAGATTTGAAGGATAGGAGTGGATACGATTCGGAGGAAAGCATCGCACATCAAAATGAAAGAAAAGGACAGGACGAATGCAATGCGAAATGAATGATCATTACCTTATGGTCCCTTTTCCTTCTTCATTTCTTCCATTTTTACCTGCCAAAAAAAAAGGCTTAATTCACAAAATTTACCCAAATGGACGGGGCCAACAATATTCTTTAGTTAGAATACAAGGCGTGGACATTAGGTATTCGTTAAATGGAATACTTTAAGTAACCATTAATGTCATCAATGGATAATATTTACAGTTAATATTTGTATGTGCCATTTTTTTTAATTAGTTGATTAGTTTATTTATTTTGTTGACACTTATCTTTTTTTTTTGCATTACGATAATCTTCATTTGTTTTCTCTAATTTTATTTGATAATTGGGAAGAAGAAAAGAAAATTCATTCTGTGAGAATATTACCGGGGAAGCTCTGAGTTGTTGAAATATGTTGAAATCGAGATTTTTTGTAAGATTTTGTTAGTTGTTAACAAAAGATGTTTATATGGTACCATATTATAATTTTCTTCTGATGAGGGCAATCATTACCATTACCGGATCCATTGATTGCTAAATCCGAATTTCGATTTTCAACGTAAGGTGCTTTTCAATGTCGCGTCGACATTATTTTTCGTAAAATCCATACATATATATATACGCGTACGTAAGTGGGAGACTTGGAGATGAAGTGAATTTTACTGAGAGGAATGGCTTTAACAAGTCAAACAATTTTATTCGAAAATGGATGTACATTTAAAGCTATTTTATTTATTGAATACGGCGGTTTTTCAAGTTTCTATTCTAATATCAGAAGTATTAATGTCAGAAGTAACAGTTAATTGAGATTCGCACCTTCACGTTTCACATCTAACGTTTGATATTTGTTTACGCACCGTACGAGTGATTAAGACGTGAAACTAACTGACTAATGGTGAACTCTCTGTCATCTACTTGATAAAGTAATGACATCCTTTCAGTGGTTGATAAAGAAAACTTCGAGAACTATTTTTGCAGTATGATATGCAATGAGACGTATAAACCGACACCGTTTCGGAATAGACTTGGGCGTAGAACGTATTCATCAATACGCTGTTCACGTCAAACTCAGCGGACGCAATTAGAAACTATCGACAATCGAAGTTTAAATGAACAACACGAACAATGCTTACGTCAAAGTTATCAAACAATTAGTGAAGAGTGTGATTTAACCGATCAATTTTCCGTAAATCAAAATAATGAACGGCGTGATGCTACTAGTACTGGCTCCTGTATTTTTGTACGAGGATCTACACAGCTACGTGATTCACGTCGTAAAACAGCAGAACAATGGCAAACCAGGAAACACTCTTTAGTAAATGATGATAATTGTGTGGAAGAAGTACGACACGGTCAAAAAGTTAAATTTTCGCTTGCCATTAATAATAGATCATTTCTTCGAAAGCTGAATAATACCGTAGAAAATAAAAAAAGTCTCCGGATTTCCGCAACCAAACATCTTGAATATAGTCGAGCTCATCTCTTACCGTCACTTTTTTCATCATCTACAATCAATTCGAAATCAAAAAGCTGCAATTCTGAATCAAATTTCGACTTTTTATACCATTCCGATTCATCGTATCCGATTAATTCTTATATTAAATCGAAGGAATTGCATTTAAAATCTGCTGGTTTACATGAAATCGATGTAAATACATGTGCGGAAAATCAAATTTCATTCAATAAAGAGGTAAGTTAAACATTTCGGCAAAAAAAATAATTTCCGTTTTTCCCTTCCTTTTCATTTTATCATCAGAAATAATGTTCGATAACGATGAGGCTTTTCATTTTCAAACCTCGTGATGTTGTTTTTCATTGAATTTGTTCCTTGAAATTTTATGAATAAATTTGAAATATTCCCAAAAATGCTCATGTCATATTTTGCACCGTTTTACTATTATAACAAACTTTTTCAATCTTATGAAATTTTTACCTTTTATCTTTATGGAAGAAAGAAGGATGAAAAAACAAATCGGTGTGAAATATGATACGGGAAATAATAGAAATGGGAAAATTCATGACTTTATTTCTACTAATGCATTTATTTTCTTTTCAGCATTCTTATGTTGGTACTCTAAGAGAAATAAATCGTCGACGCTCAGCTTTGCGGAAAAAGCAAATTTTTCGTAATGATATTATTACTTCAGACGATGAAACAAGTAGTCAACAACGGACTATTTCATTTTCCAATTCGAAAGTTTGTCAATTATTTTGTTTAAAATTTATACAAATAAAAAGGGTGAAAAAAAGAAGAGAGAGAGAGAAAGAGAGAGAAAGAAGGAGAAAGAGAGAAAGGATGTAGGAAAAGAAAGATTGCGTATATATGGTTTATATCGCATGTCATAACTTGAATTAAAGAAAGTAATTTAACAACAACCGCAAATTTATAAGCATTTTACAACATTTGCAGTATTTCTTGTGTCAATGTGTAATAAAGTTTATCATATTTAAAAGAGAAAGAAAAAAGGATGGTATTCTAAATGATGATATAATTATTCTCATTTATTATATTTGTTTGAAGTTGATGAATATATATATATATAGTATTGCTGGATATATTTTCATCTCGTAACTATTAAAGATTCCAATATGAAATTATCGCAATTAAGACTTTATAATGAGTTTAAAAATAAGAACATATGTAATGCAATCAAACGGGGCAAATAAAATATCACTGTTAATAATATAAAATGAAACTATGAAAATGTTTTATTTATCTTACATAGAATTTGCAACTTTTTCGGTCATATTAAGCTTTTTTCCTTATTTTTTATCCAATCATTTTCCTTTCATTTCTTTGAAAGCATCGTATGATAATTTTCTTTTATATTGAGATGATAAATTAATAACTGATAAGGAATAATTCATAAGAAGTTTTAGAATCGAAAAATTTTACCTTTCTTTTTTCCACTTCGTATCTATGTGTATGTGTGTGTTTCTTATCAGTTATTAGTGTGTGTATTTTTGTGAAGGCATATTTCTGACAGAACTGGGCTATAATTGTGTAAGATGAAGGATAAATGAAGCATTATTAGTTGTAGGCCTTACAATAAAGGAACGATATGTTTGAACAGAATAACAACTTAGAATTTCAATAACAACTTAGAATTTCATAGCTTAAAATGCATTATGTATGTGTCTCTGATATTGTTAACAATATTTTGCTGGCTATATATGATGATGAAATTATCATCGAAATGAATATGTAAATAATGTTCCCCCCTTTCCGTTAATAAATCCAGTAATCAGCCATCATAGTCGTATCCTCTATCAATATCATTACTTGTACATTCGATTTCCTTTTCAATAACAAGCAAAAGGTATGGATTTTTGGATTGTTGATGTCGTTTCGATCGAAATAGAAATAAATAAATATGTAAATTAGTTTATTTATTTCCTATTTTTTTCCCCTAATAAAAAAACCTTTTTCTTTCTTTTTGTTTCTTTTATTAGAATAATATCATATGATAATTAAATGGACTAAAATTTGATTTTTTTGTCTCTTTGTCTTTAAAATAATTAATTCAGTTAAATGAAATTTCGAGCAAGAATTTCAATAGTTAATTCAATTTTAATTCCTTTGAAATAGTTTTTTTTTTTTTAAATTCTATTTCAAAATCATCAAAATAAAACAACAACAAAAAAAAGGATTATCATAATTTATGTATCTCAGACAAGATGATATGCAATTCGTAAATGACTAACATAATTAATTGCATCCACACTCATTGTATAATAAGCAATTTTATAATTATGTATACATATCATTATATTGTTAATCACACCTCTATTGTGTCGTTGATAAGTTTTAGCAAACAACAACTTCTCATTTTCTGTTATATGAATAATCAAATAAGTTGGAATAATATTACTTATTTTTTTTATTGCTATACTGAAAATCTTTGTTGCATTCATTTTATGGCAAAAATTAGAGAAAAATTTTATTAATTCAATTTAATTAAGCATCATTTTTTATTTGTCTTTTTTGCACAAAGTAATTTAGGCTTAATTATAAATACTTAAGTTTTTCAATAATTAGAGAATTAAAAAAAAAAAGAAAGCTGATGAGCAAAATTGTTAAAATCTTACCAAATTTCACTGATGTAATTTAAAACATTAAGCATATATCATAAGCACCCACCATTAATTATAATTATAGCTATGCCATTGTAAATGATCTCATTAATAATTTGGCAAACAGGAAAATAATTTTAAATTGATTTTCGGAATATTAGCATACACTTATTGCATGATTTTGAAATAAAATTTAAAACGATAAAAAGAAATATATAATTACATGTGATATGTTGAATTATGCTAATACATCAAATATATCTTTTAATTAATTAATTTTTCAAATTAGAAATCAAATAATAAACTACCAGAAGTTTAAAATTCTCAAATAATTAATTCAATGATATTTTTATATTTTTTGTTTAAAATTTCTTTTCCTAATTTGATGTTTTTATTTTATGTTTTGTTTACTCTTTCTTTTGATTGTTATCTGTCTGTCAGATAGAATACAATGAGAGTTGAATGTATAAGGAAGTCACGATTAAATAATTGTTATCATTATATCATATTACAGCTATATTCGGTCATCCAGAAAGCTTCCTCATCATAATTAGCATCGTTACTCATCATTCCATTCTTTGCTTCTTCGTCAACTGTCGTTTATAGTTGTTGTCAAATCCGATCGATCATACATTTTCCAACATTTCAACTTCACTTCTCTCTTTTTCTTCTTCCTTTTTTTTCCTTCTCTTCTTCTCCAACTTCCCTTTTTTTTAAATCCTCCCAATATACATAGTGAAAAGGGAGTTTGACTTTTCTAGCAGTACAATCAATAAGTAGCCTGTGCTAAATTTTTTGAGGCAGTTCACGACATAAACTTAAGGATATATTCTTTGATGTCCATATTTAATCAATTGTCACACATTGATTATTATTATTATTATTACTATTTATTATTATTATTATTATTATTAAATGTTATTATTATTATTATCATTGTTACTATTAATTATTATTATTATTATTACTATTAATTATTATTATATAATAATGATTATAATTACCAACTAAGAATAGAAGTGTTAGTTGTATCGTTGATCATAAATGCATCTATTTAATAGTCTAAAATGTAACATTTTAATTATTATGTTGACATATTTGTTCTATAATTATTGGATGCACCTTTTTTTTGCATTCATTTATTTTCACACAAAGGTAAGAAAGATTGATTATTTGATATGTGATAAATAATACTAGTAAATTTCGTTTTTTTCTATCACTTTTTTTTTGTGTTACATTTGTTATATTTTAGCTAATGTTTTTTGTTGTTGTTGTTGAATTCAACAAATTCAAATTAGATTTTGTTTTCAAATTAATTTTATGCAAGGTTGACTGTCTCATCAATTGCTTTAGTATGATTTTCTTTCCATATTTTGGAGGATTTAAAAAATCTGAAACGCTTATGGGTCCATAAGAATTTGTAAAAGAAAAGGTTAATTAATATATTTCAAAAACGTTGTAAGATTTTTTTTAACATTTTATCATTTTAACTCTTAACACTCAGGTAAGTCTTTTAAAATGGATGAAACCTTGAGATGTTCACGTACCAAAACCGCAGTTTGATCTGAACCAATAAGCGCTCAATCCTAACATTTGTTTTTGTAGTATTAGAATAGTAAACTAATTTTTAATTGAAATTAATTTGCTCATTTATTTTCATTTTCCTCATTCCTAATTTCAATCACAATAAATTATTGCTTTACATCGTTAATTCATGATCGCTTTATGCAATAATATCTCATTTTATATCATATAGTTTTCTCCATTATATTTGGAACATATTTCTTCCTCTTTAAAACTTTTAATACATTATCATAGATTTATTAATTTGATGATATTTCTTAACTGTCACTATTTATTTTCACTAAACTGTTTATTTAAATTTTCAATTTTGTTACTTCTTTCAATTATGTTATTTGTTTTGTTTCAGAGACGTCGAAGCCTGATGATATTTTTATTAATTCATATTTGATAAGTTAAGTTAAATTATGTGATAACATTTTAACTAATTTTTTTTAATTAATCCTTAAACTTTTGCTAACATATAATAACAATTCAAAAATGAGAAAACTCTGCAAGAATAAAATAATACAAATTAATATTAAAATTAAGTAATAAATTTGCAACAATGAAATAATAAAATTAAGTAATAAAATAATCGTAAAAATTAAGTAATAAAATTTTTCGGTAACAATTAAAACAATAATTACAAACAATTAATTTTAATTAAGGTATAATGCAAAAATTTTCTGCTATTATTTATTGCAGAATTTGTAAATAGGTAAATTTATAGGATACTTAAAAGAGAGCAATCAAATGTTAAAACGGTTAAGTGCAAGAATTTTTTTTGTTGTTGTGTATATATATGTTAAAGAATTGTTGACTTTCAATTTTTAAATCAGAACACATAGACAGATAGATCGGATGGATGGATAGATGGATGGATGGATAGATGGATGGATGGATAGATGGATGGATGGATGGCTGGATGGATGGATGGCTGGATGGATATACACCTTTATATTTTCACATATATATACACACACACATACACATATATATATATATATATATATATATCCCTGTCTAATTTCTTTTTTTTTATCTCTACATAAACAAATGGAA